ATGTATCCACGCATTAATTCATCAGCATGCATGTTAATTGCGCGCGGTCGCCATTAGAGAATTTAATTGTTGATGTGTCTGGATATGAGACACCTTGAAAGCGTAATGTTTTCGATCGGCAAGAATAGATTACGTAAAACTTCATATGCATATGTTTTATCTCTGTTCATGAGGTGTGCGTGTTTTTTTCATATTATGATCCGCGGTCATTAAGCCCGGTGTTTCATCAATGAACAAAAAAGGAAACGTTTATAAGCAATTTATGTTTTACTCTGCGCCTGTGCTCGACGATTTGCATCATTGTTTTTGCAAGCCGATATGAAATGGAATTGGTGTCGTCTTCGCCGATCGGTCACTTGTCATTAAGTGGAACGCGCTAATGAAATCGTAAAAACGCTCGACCGCGGCGCGTTTTTCTTCGTCTTTCAATTTATTTACCGCACTGGACATCTCTAGATGTTGGAAATAATAGGAGAAACGTAAATGAATCGACATGAGTGATGATTGTGCGCGGTGCGAAAGTAAAGCGCGTTTCAATTGAGCATCAACATCAACAATCGTAGGTACCTAGTCAACGAGAGACACCCATATTGGAATAACTCGTTATGGCGACACGGCGCCGAGGAGAAAACTAGAACTCTCGCTTATTACCGAAACTATAAGCGAACATGTTTTTATATATTTCTACACACGAGACAGCTCAACAGGTTCGAGTTTTGTTGGATTTGTAGAAATTGAAGAATTACCCGGAGAGGGACGTGATTTGATGGTACCCTTAAGGGTACCCTGTAAATTGTCGAAAATTCGAAGAATTCGTGTTTACAATACTCTCAATTGGATTACAACCGGGACAATTGCGCTGGATATCCAACCAATCAAAGCAATAAAACCAGTTCAACACAGAGTTGAGCTCAAAACAGTTTATTAGTCTATTAGCTCCCTGACAGGCCAAACGCTCTGAAATAATACGTCCGACACTAGCCGTTCAGTAATAAATTGCTTCGCTTTAAATTAATAACAATGGTGTTGTGTGGCATACCATCATGCACCCTACCATCAAAACATCGATAATTCAGCAGCGGCGGCCGAGCAGTTGGCGGGTGTCGTTAGACAAATATTTGCATGATGGTATAGCATCATACCATCGGGCATATACCATCAATTAATATGACTTGCAGCTTGTGCGCCTGCCTCCTGCGTGTTGCATTTAAAGATTTTAACAGATTCTAACAGATTTGAACAGATCTACTAACACGTATGATTCTCGCCGGGTTCGTTAATGTTTTGTAGCGTTTTGTGACGCATTGTGCGATCAAACGCCGGTGTTGTGCAGTTTCATGCAGACTCATTCATGCGGCATTTATGCTTGCACCTTTCAACTCAATGGAGGCGAGTGCGGATAAGAAAGGACTGTTTTGTGTAAAACGGCGAATGGGACAAAACGGATGTTGCTGGCGTTTTGGGGTGTGCTGGTGTGCAAGTAACATTTAATGATTGTTCAATTGCACGGACACAGAACAAGAATAAGAATAAGAAGGAAAATGTATAAGTATTGCACTCGGTTTGAAAATTAATAAATCTCGGGCGTTGATTATGATGAATGTGCAGTAATTAAATGTTGCTACGAGTATCGATAAAGTGATTGTGATTCTGAACGACTTCGACGTGAGAAGGTCAGAACAAAGCGTCGTACGCTCAATTAAACACCGAACTTTTCATATTTACCTACGTTGATGGTGTGGCCTTTACAGTAGGTACACCACATGTGATTTCCTAGCTCGCTGCTAGCGCACAAACGGTAAAATAAAGCAATGCTGCATGTGCTCATACGACGATAGCAACAAAGGGCCCGTTTTTTATTCGGCTTCTTCCAGCTCCTTCACGGATGATTATGTTGATTCGTTTGACGTAACCGTGCATTATCGAAGACACGGTGGCGCGCACACCTCCATGACCTAAGGGCCTTTCAGGGACCCTAAATGCCCCGCTCGCTGGGCGCATTATGCGTGCTCGCATTGCACTCGTGAAGAAGCACAGTTAACCAAAGCAAAGGAGGTTTGGAGGTATGTCGCAGACGCGGAGGGATTTTCTTAGGTAGCCCCGTCGCACCAGTATTTATTCTACCGGGCCTACCAGCATAGGTGAACACTGCACACACACTCCACACTCCCTAGCTCACCGTAATGCTATTAGAAGCTACAGGGACAAGAAAAAAAAAACCGAAAAAATAAAAGTCCAAAGGAAAGCAAACGTGCACATTAAATGTGAAAAGAAATAGAATGAGATTAGAGATGGATACAGCGCGCAGTGTAATAAGTTGCATTCAGGCCGGTCAAAGGGACGCTAATAAAATTCATTACAGAGAGATTTTTAATCGATGCTGCTGCCGATGGAAAGTGATAACTTTTACGAGTCGATACGATCATCGGAAATGGTTTCTTTTTGAAAGAGACCTCGTCGAAGGTGTGCTAGACATATGCTGCCGTTCACTGAATAGACAAACCGTTTAACCAAAAAATGTTTACTTTGTAACTGCGATGAAGCGGTACAAATTAATAGTTTCTATCAATCCTAAGTGCAAATTGTAATATAAGCTCCCAGACGTAATTTTATGTGTGCCCCAAAACGCTGCGAGAAATAGACCATGAATATAAAGTAGTCGTAAATAAAAGGTGTCAAAAAAGTTGTAAAGCCAAAGTCGTAGATTACAATAAGGTAAACACAACAGAAAGGAATCAATCCCTTGCGCCCCGACAAGACGCGTTTCCTACTCCAGGATTCAATAGCCGCTCGATATGTATGCCGCAATAAAATTAGTTTTACTACTGCATGCCGATGATCACATTGTCGTTGTGTTCCTGCGATCTCGAACGGCGCTAGACGACGGTGAATTTGCGAGCGGCGAGAAGGATATTTATGCGTATACACACTTCGGTTTTACGAGCGCGTCATCGATTCCCACAATAATGCTGTCTACAGTTGCAAATCGACCAGATCAAATCAATCAGAGTATAGTAACACAAAAGAAAAATTGGGTAGAAAATCTTAAGTGAAATAATGTAGGTAGGTAATAGAATAATAGTTGGGTTTTTCTTAAGACTTTTACTTTTTTTTACTTCTTCAAGGAGAAAATTGTTTTAAAAATCATTTTTATTGGAAAAACCTTTCTGTTGCATCCATTTACGACTAATCTAATTAATTTTTTTCATCTTTCATCCCTTAAAACCCTTCGTTTTCAATTTTTTTTCCTTTTTTTTTAATTGAATGCAATTTATGCACAAATTCACGATTGTTCCTACTAACCTTCCTAATAAATACGATTAATAAATGTGGCGAAATACGATTTCTAATTATAAAAGCAAATGAATAAACGCATTAATTAGTCCCGATGTGAGTTCTTGCATGTGCGCGCAACTTAGTGACTCGTTGACTTACATTATTTTACAATGTGCATAATTCTTCTCGCAGACGTGTGCCGATGTTTATATTTATTTCGTCCGTGTGTACGTGTGTGCCAAACCATCCGGGAAATGCTCCTCGCCGGCGCGAGTAATGAAGCGCAACTTCGCCGCGGACTTGTTACTGCACGATTACTTTTTGCCCCGTTTTCGTGCTTTCTTGTTTATTGTAGTTTCCTCTTAGCACACATGCGATAACTTATTAATCGGCGACTGGATATGCAAGCCTCCGACAGACAACAAAAGAAATTAAAGTAATAAACGCACCAACAATCTATGCGAATGTGCAAAGCGGACGTCTTCATCATTTACAACATCTTTAAAACTTGTCAAAACATACACGGGTTTTGTTTTAGAATTGTTGTTTGTGGTGAATTTCTTAATAACTTATATAAAACATCCGGTTAGAGACACAAGTAGTATTCGCTTGCATTTTTCTCGACATCCAAAAGTCTAAAAGAAAGTTGTTGGGTGTGCATATATGATTTTATCGTTTTCCTCTAGCTAATTGTCAAGCGTTTGTCTTGCCTACCCCGCTCATTAAACGGAAATATTAACAACGCAAAACGAAAGAGATTGTGTAACGTCCGACTTAGCATCCAGCAAGAAGTAAAAATGATTCGATTAGAAGAAAATAAAAGTGTTGGTGATTGGAAACAGGCCAATTGAGTGAGAGCGATTGATTTATTTATTCCTTCCGCTTGCAGCCCATGACTCGTGTATTTTTGTACAAAAGCGTACATAATTAAAACACGAAATATTGATATCATGTCGACAATGCCCGAAAGAGGAAGACTCAGCAGAAAATAAAAGAAGTCTCATCTTAATATCGCCGATGAAAGAAAGACTAGAAAAGGAACAATCAACTTTTCAGCATGCAGTCCAATATATAAAATTGTGAACATTGAAGTTATTAGTAAACAAAAAGCGCAGACATTTCCTACATCTGGAAATGTATCGATTGTAATTGTGATAATAAATTGTAATAAATAGTTGCGCCGTTAGAGATGGTAAGTAAACGGGGTTAATTGCATTAATTTCCTTCGATCATTTCGCTCGCATCGATTCGATTTGTTCGTCGCTTTATGCTGCTTTGCAGACGGCTGCAGTGTTGCAGAACCGGATACATTTACGATTTACGCATTTATTTATCGCACGATTCAAATAAGTATCGCTGGCAATTAAATCTTCTTGAATTTATGAGTTCAATTGAAATGAATTGAATCGAATTGCATTAGATTGAATTCTTATTTCTTATTCATCATGCATTATCAGTGATAGTAACCAAAAAGTATCAAGACGTTTTTTTTTTTGAAAAACGAAATCGGTAGAGGTGTAGCAGGTAATATGCTCTAGAAACGTGTAATTGTTACACTTTTACACGTCTGATTAGATTTCCGTGTCCGGTCAAAATTCCACCTAGCACGAGGTGACTCAAATCGCCGCCTCGATTCCCATAATCGCTTTATAATTCGACACAATGTTGCATTGTTGCAGCACTAATTATAAGCTAGATTGATAGTGGGTCTAGTCTGGACTTACCACTGATTTTCGGCCGAAACTGGATGAAATTGTCGCGCACTGGGTCGGCGGCTTTTCGGATCTCGGAGATGACGCGCGGCAGACGGGCCTTGCCCAGCTTCCCGCCGCCGACGCTGCCCATCGCTGAATGACACACCAGCATTATTTTATCCACCGGTTCGCCATGCACACAAGGCGTCGTTAATCCCAGGCCCAATCAAATGCAGAATTAGTATTTTGTCAACAAATTGGAAACTTGCGTCCAAACAAAGTTGGAAACTTTACAAACAATCTGGTCGAATGTGTGCTGTGCACACCACGAGCGCGCGCACTTTCCAGGCGGAACGGTAACGTGAACGTCGCTCTGACGATTCTTGTTTACAACTGAATCGCGCACACAGAACATGCCTGTGTGCCGATGACGATGAGTGAGCTTCATGTGGCGAACGGTGGCAGTGGTGGGATCGCTAGCGGCCCGACGATCAGGAGTCAGACAGCACCACATCAAGGGAGTAATGGTATGAGACATACCTTTTGAATTATTTAAACATTTACCATTAGCAAAAAAACTTATCAATTAATTGATTACGTCGTGCAAAATATTTGATTGCATATAAGGTGGTAAATAGCCTAAATTATACTGTTATCAATTTGTAATATTTGTGTAATCACTGTAATCACAACGGAGATTGCCGCGGAAGCGTTGCAATTTGTTTGAATTTATCAATATGTACACAATCAAATTATGCATACTTACATGAAGTAGGCATGAAATATTGTTGATAAAATAATAATTGATTATGTGCATTAAATCGATATTTATGGTTTAAAACATTAAAGTTGCGTGAGTAATAATTATTACACATAATGGCAAGAATGTGTGTTACTTTGGAAATTTACGCATGTTTGGACTTTTAATGCCTAAGCAAACAAATTGAGTGTTTTAAGTTTTCTAATTTCTTAGAATTTTGGTGATAAGCGAATTTTGTTGAACGAAAATATTAAATTAAACCACACGAAAGATGTTGACTGATATATCTCAAACTTTGAATTCAATTTTTTCATTTTTGCAATAGCAACTAATAGTATATTAATTATCTAGTGGCTAAATGGGTGTTTTTGTCACGAGATTGATTATGAGTGAGCCTTGCGAGCGTTTAATCGAGCGATTATTATTTACAATATTTCCCAGCATGCAATTGCTTATAAATCAATGTTTTCCGTAATAATCTTTCATTTCTGTTCTAATTACACATTAATTCATAGCTATTATTGCTTTTCAAACACTAGTATTTTAACAAATTTATTTTTGCAAGCAAATTTTTCGATTTTTTTTTGTTTGTTTTATGTTCGACCAAAGATAATATTGGTTTTAAAAATGTTTACCATTGTTTACATTTCGAGCTGTAGTAGCCGACAATTTAATTTTCCACCAAAAACTATAACATGCAGTCGGTTTCTTCCATCTGCCTGAGAATAACCTCAGAAACGATGACAGTGTGGCTTCTAGGTCAGTTTAAATCCCCAAACAATTCACGATTTGTGAATGTCTTACAGACTTTGTGACAGCAAACTAGTTTAATCCTCCGATGCTCCACCGAAATAGAAATCCAGCTTCCTCCATGCGCATAAAAGGGTTGCGACTATGACAGATATGCTTCTCGGGCCCGGAGACGGGTTGAAATTTTTATTGATAACATAATACCGTGCAGCGTTAATCTCGGCCGTGACCGACCACGGGCAAATGTACGACGCTCTCACTGGGTACAGTCCACAATGCACCCTTACGAAGTGCGTGCATAGATTGATGGTGGGCAGCCCCTCGCGTCCCGAAATGGCCGCGCAAAGAAAGCGGAACGCAAACATACGGCCGAGGAGACCGCTGTGCGCTGTGCTACTCCTTGTTCTTCTCCTTGTCCCTGGGTTTTTTGTATTTTTTCCAAACTCAGGTTGCATGTGTTTGATTGCATTATCTCGGGACGCCTAAATTGGGGTGACACGTTGGGCGCACAAAGGCCTAGCACACATGGATGGAAATTGATATACCGTCGAAATGTGAAGACATGAAATTATGTTTGTTGTATGGAAATAGGGTGAGGTAAAACAGTGGCCTTTGTTGCGATGGACATGTAAGTGCATTCATACACACCAAGGTTGGTTTCGAATTGTACTTCGAAGAAAGAGCAAAATGTGCAGTATGCACATGGTCAAAATGATATTTTCATCTAATTAAAAATTTTTCTATTAAAATTTTTTATATATAAATAGAGTTTTGATTTAAAAATGCCTTTAAATTTATAAGCTATACAGTTTCTTTGATGAAAAGTTATTGCCATAATAACCGAAATAAATTCACAGCGAACAAATTAAAATTCCTGCCAGAATGTCAGGAAAAAAGCGCGTCGCATCTCTCTCGTAATAAGCGTCGCTGGGCGTTGATTTAAGTTAAGTCAAGGAAAAAATTAGTATGGAAATCCTTGTTTAATGTAGTTTAACACGTGTATGCGTGCGTAGGCATGTGAATGTTGTGGGTCATTTGAGACCCGTTATTTTCAGTTTCATTTTTCATGCTTAACGTCTTCATTTTATTTTCGGCCGCGCCGCGCACGATAATTAATTTCATCTACAAATCTTCCCGGGGCCCGGGTACCTGATTAACAGACTTAAGTTACACTTTCTCGTTGACGAATTTGAATGTTTGGCGAATTGTTAGCACCTTGACTGGGAGGTAAACGGTTAAAGTGGTAAAAGTTCACGATTGGTGTTTGTATACTTTATTCGTATTCGAATTAGTTCTAGTTAATTAACTTGGCACTTAGCACTTGTTTTGGTTTGCGCAGTTTTGGCGCAGGTATTGAATTAAACTCTAAACAAGTTTGGCGATTGCAAAAAGTTGCCGCGAAACAAGAAACACCTTGGAATTGCTGCGACAAGTGCGCGTGCAACAAGTTCAATTCGGAATTTAAATAACTTGACAATTAAGCAATCGGCATAGATGACTAAGTCACACCATTTTTTATTACGGTGAATCGGTAATATTTGCAAGTGCATTTGTTATTCCACATGTCAATCGTAATGGAAATAGACGTGTCTTATTTGTTTTGCATTAGAGATAACGCAAAGCAGTCAAGAAACTTTGTTGATGTGTGTTTTCTACTCGAGTTCAATTGATAAAATAAATTGATATAACGATGTGTTTTATGATACAAAATGCGCTTGGAGATTCATGTGAAATGTTTGCAAAACATTACCTCTACGTTAGAAATATGATTTCTATTTGAGTTCGTCAAGTCGTTTTTCTTGATTATTTTACTCAGCATGAGTCAGGAAGTGCAGCAAAAAATAATAATTTACAGGGCGCCACAAGTATTCTCACTCGCTGTGGATGTTAAAAAGTTGTCTCGCCCATTGAAAACGTCATGTTCAATATTAGCCAGGCCGATAATTTCTGTCGCACAGATAACAATTATACCTGAAGTGCACTGCTGATGTCTGAAAGGAAATTGGCTTATCATAAAGCTCGTCCACAACTCGTGTTTACATTTCGGTGCTGGGCGAACGCACCGAACACAGCCCAATAAATTCCATTGTATATACACACTACTTAAGAAGTGGTATGCGGATGGTGGGCAAGCGTTTCCAAATTTTGTCGAAAATTTCTGCCTCAATGCGGCGCGCATACCGGATATATTTTATGGCCATTGTCGAACCCCATTGCGACAAACAGCATGACAATGCCGGGTTAGATTTGACGCACTTCAACGATATGAAATATCTCTTTTGTCTGGCGAAAAGTGTTGGCCTTTTGGTGATTTTCGAGCATAAAAAACGCTGCTGCGTTGGCTTAATGCGTGAAATGCAGACTTCCGTTGTTTGATTTGCGTGTGCTTTTTTTTTATTTTTAGCTGTGTTTGTATAACTATACGCGGTAAAAGTGTAGCTTTACGCCGATTTTGCGAGGTGAACTTTCACGGTTTCATTCAATTGCTCACGAAATCAATGCTTATCTCATTGATAAGATAGTTTAACGGAAATAATTCTACCTTGATTTTTATTTAGTGTGTATTCAATGTTAACAAACCTAAATCTTAAATAAAACGTGCTTGTTTTCTAAAATACATACCTGGAAGTATTGGTATATTACAAACGATGAGTTTTATCACAAAAATAGGAATCTTTTATATTTAGTAGCTACGTAAATGTTTTTTGTTTAAATATTTTGTCAGTCGCGAAAAAATTATGTTGAATTGTCTTCTAAACAAATTCTATTTCGTATTTCAACAACAAAAAGCCCAACACTATGATTATTCTTTAAAGAAACAACCATTATTGTTTAATGTGATTCACTTTGTTGTATTATAAAACGCGGTAAAATGCAGTATAGTTGCAAAAATAAATTCGTTGATTTGCCATTATAATGTCATTTAATGTTTTGAAACTTTAACATAGTCTACCCAACATACACTACTGACATCGTACGCGTTCGTACATTATCGTATCCAATCCTGCTGCTCGATTTTCACTACAATTTGCAGGGGGCGGGCCTCCGTTTCGTTAGTTAAGGTAGTGCACTAGTGTGTTGCCTAGACTTGTCCTGTCGTTTGACGCAAGTCAAGTCACAATGATGTACGTTTTTGCGGCTTGTTATCTTAATGTGCAAATTTTAATATTTTGACCATCGCAAATCGTTTTATTTTACGATCCTTTCTAATTGCACACATGAAATAAGTTTAAGGATCCTTTATTTTAAAATGGTAAGTCGTATCTGCATTTTTATTTACACTATTACCATCAGTATCACATCATGCAACCCTTCAATTAATCATGAGTTATCAGTGATTGCAACTTATCTCTGTAATATCTTAGGCACAAAAAGAAAATGATATGCTTGCTGGACTCGAGCACCTCCTCGACGAGTTCTACAACCCTAGCACAACTAATGAGCGAAAGAGGAACATTGAACAACAACTGAATGAATTCAGTTTACAGAGAGACTCATGGAAGCTATGTATCAATTTTTTAAAGCATTCTACAAATCCATTTGTTTCTATGTATACTCTCTATCAGTTAGAGGTAAGTTTTTCAAAACAAGTACTCCACTTTAAAACTCATTCACCTATCACCTTGTAGTTGTAAATAATGATTCATTGATATTTATTTAATTGCTTGTAAATACTTCATGCTAAATGTGCTCTTTTTGTTTTGCTTAGAATGTGATAAGCAGGCAGTGGAACTTGCTTGATGCATCAGAGCAACACTACCTAAAACAGTCAGTGAATGAATTCACGTTTGCACTGAACAGTACAATGCCGAATTTCATTCGAAACAAGGTGGCGAAGGTATCTGTGGAAATAGCGAAGCACACGTGGCCGAAGTACTACATGGAGCATTACAGTGTGATCATGCAGCTGCTGCACAACGAGCACGCCCAGCTCCTCGGGCTGATCTTATTACGGACCACGAGTGAAGAGATCCTGTGCCCTAGCTCACATGTTTCCTCTAACTACAAGGAAGCCCTGATGACGTTTTGCACTGAACACATTCCACAGATATTCCAAATTTTGACTGAAATTTTAGACAGTTTAAGTATGTACCATAATGCGGTGTTTATTAAGCAAGCGAAATATTTGACATTATTTTTTGTTTAGTCCATAAGAAGCGTCACTACGCAACAGCAACTCCACCGCCCTCACCGACTCATCCCACACAGGCGCCGGTTTTAGCCCAGCAAATATCCGCTGCATCATTTCGACCCGACAGTAAAGAAATCGGCCGAGAGGCGCTTGCCATTCTACAGCACCTTTTCTCTTGGGTGGATTTAGTCATCGTGCCTCATTATGCACTTTATACAATTTTTTAAATTTACAAACACTTCTAGTTATGCGCAGGTTAGCTGTACAACAACAACAACAACATTCAACGTGTTTCTATAATATTTTGATTGTAGGCTGACGATGACATGTGCTTCTTGGCCATGACGGTGATAAACGAGCTTCTCTATCGTAAGTGTGCGCCTCCTGCAACACATCAACTGTTCATGGAATTGTATCAACACACAGCGCTGTTACTGCGGGATATCTCACTCCCGACTCTAAAAGTTGAGGCTATGGGTGCTGCGTATGTATTGCAATATCGGTGTAGCAAAATAACCCTTACTAATTGTTGCTATTGTTTAGATTTGTTGATAAACTGTGCGAAATGTTGTCATTATTGGTGGGTCAACATCTATGGCGCTTAGAAATGCAAGCTAGTTTCACCGCCGTCGAGTTCCTCGGTAATTTGTTTGCGTTGACATTTCAACTGCCGACAATCGAGGGATATTTACGATGCCTGACGGTTTGGACCACGTTTATCAAGCAGATCAAGCCGCAGAATGCTCATAAGTACTCGCAGCCTTTAGTGGCGCTCGTCATGACCGTTCTGGCCAAAATGCAGTTTACAAACAACGCGGCGCAATTAGAAAAGATCAATGATACCGATCCAAATGAAGATGTAAGTGATTTACACTCGTGCCATTCGAATATTAACATGTTTTTCTTTTTGCTTTTGTTAGAATGAGACTGATTGGCAGATATACCAAAACGCATGTATCGAAATCATCGCACTAGTGGCTGAATTTGCACCAATGGATACGTTTGACCAAGTGGTAAGAAGTTTTTTTTAATATTAGTATTATTGATATTTAATTGGATAATAATATTTATGCAGTTGGCGCCATGGAGAACAGCCAATGATGTTTACGCTACGCTACGCACGATGGATGTGACGCACGGCACCTTAAAGTTGGTGCCTTCAGAGAGTCAAAGACTGCACTGTATTCTTAAAGACTTAGCGACATTGACGCAGACATTGGCGCGCTTATCATCGAACTTTATGGACCAAGGTGCCGAATATTACAAAACGTCGATACCCACCATTCAGGGTTTACTCGCGAAACTCATCGAAAGCGCTGCGTTGTCGAGCGCGGTTGGTTTTTATCACTTGAAAACATGCGATTCAAGACTTGCTTCTGACTTCACTGAAGTGTAAGTTTATTAAACATGATTTGCAATGCTTTCTGATGTCGAATGTTTGTAGCCACTGTCAATTATTGGCCGCGCTGAAGACTTGGTGCACCTGGTACAAGTGGAATACATCAAACAAGCTGAAAGATCTGAATCCACTGCTGCTGCTTGTCTTGCCACATGTACGCGCGCCGCAGGCTGTTCCAGCGAAAGTGACTCTATCGGCAGCGCACTTTTTATTCAGCATTACCTCTGCAATTCATCCGCCGGAATTGATGCAGATTCCGGACGCACTCGGACTCATTCAAGTGGCCAGCACGTTACCATACCCGAAGAATCAAAGTCGAGATGTGGTCCTGTGTGCGCTAGCTACAGTACTCTTAAAACCATGGGGTGAGCTCTGCACATCCGATGCACAGGCGCGTAATAATCTCATCCAGAGCCTCTTTGAGGCGATATCACATGACTACCGCCAAATTAATGAGTACTGCGGTGATGCTAGAAGCTGCCTGGACATTACGGAGCAATGCCTTCCATGTTTCGTGAATATCATGGACTACTGCAAGGAGTATCCGGTAATCTCCAAGAAGTATCTCTACGTTGCACTCAAGCCAACCATCGATCATACAGTGGATGTATTCTCGGGATTTTCCAAGTATCCGATGGTCGTCGAGCTGCAACTGCAGTTCTTCATTAAAGTACTGGAAGTACTGCAGCAGCAGATGAGCATCGCGGCAATACGCAAGGCCGTGGACGTTTTCCTCGCCGCCGCAGTTCGCGAACAGCAGCAAAACCAATTTGGTGGACTGGATATGTTGTTAAAGATACTGCAGTTAGTTATTGAGTCCCCTGGTTCGGCGTACAAAAACTTTATGGAGGGTATATTCGAATTGTGCATGAAAAACATTTATCCCGCACTGATACAGCAAGCTAACGAATATCCAGATGCCATTATTGCTTTAATTAATTTATTGCATAGGTAATTAAGATTAACATACATTACCATTTCGAGTCAGTTTCCAATCAATTTTCTATTCGTTCATTAGATGCAAACTATAGTATTGTCATATAGTTTGATATAAAAATCGAAAATTATCGATTGTAAACATTCACTTTCGGTTTCAGTGTGCTGTTGAATCGTTGGAATTGTTTCTACGTGTCGCAAATTCGGCTGGGGAATTCGCCAGGGTGTAGTGATGTGGAACCAGCAGCAGACAGTCCCCAGCAATTGGAGCAAGTCATTCAGGTTCTAGAAGTCTTCGGACGCTGTTTACTGCAAAGTGATATTAACATCTTCCGTGTTAGTTTGGGTGCTTTGGAAAATTTAAACGTCAAATGGAAGTTGTATCACAAAGTAAGCTTGTATTACAACTTGCAATCAGAACGTGTTTTCATTAGTGATCTGTATCGATTTTAGGCATTATTCAAGGAACAGATGCTTGGTCAATTTTTGAATGTCTTGCTGCAAACCATGCTGGACAGGACTCACCATTTGCTCAATGAAGATATCATGCATGCGTTTTACAACATGGCTGCCGTCAGTTTCTCCCAGTTTTTTGATCGATTTTTGACACAATACATTGATAATCTAGACAGACTTACCGGGCACCAACGCAATACTTTGCGCAATAACTTTTCGCACTCTACTGTGAGTATATTTGGGTTATATATAAATAATTATTAACATGTTTTTTTCCAGGATATGCCTACATTTGTGCTAAACTTGCAACGTTTTGTGGACGACGCGAGGTGCTTTATCATGTGCAACAGCAGTTTACCTCCAGGCTCCGTGGTTTTTTAAAAGATGGTCGGCTGTACTACAGTTTTATTTGGATAATTGTGACTTAACGTCTAGATAAATTTCAAATGCGCATTTTGCTTTGACTCAAATTATTTTATTACGTTGTTATTTCGGAAGATTTCTTATCCTGAAGTTACTTTAAGAAAATTCTGTGTATCAGTAAATTAAAAGAACGTGAAGAATCTAAATCAAGAAGTTATGTTGGCAACAATTAATGTAAACTGTTTCAAAACCACTTTAGAATCAAGTGTTTTATTTGACTTTATATTTTTAATAAATTATTTGATAAAATGCTTGTGGTACCTTTGTTAAGATCATTTCATTCTGGTGATTCCTCGCCATCCTTTTAGTATTGCCAAAAACCACTAGTCACTTTATACGCAATGACGGAAGAGGAACTTAAGGAAGTGTAGATGGACTGTTGAACTACTGAGTGCTATGGTCTTTTATACCTCCTCTAAACCAGCAAAAAGTGGTGGGGGTGGCGCGCAACTTGCATGCTGGTAGGGCAGCTACTTCAGGTTTTCCGCGGGTATAAAATGGTTCACATAAGTTGCATAAGTGTCTGAGCAGTCACAGAACTACAGGGTCCTCTTTTCTCTCTCCACTCAATTCTGGACTTCGGTTCAGATCTTCCCACGTCACTACAACGCAATCTCAATCCTGATATTCCTGTGAGCCCAATGTTACGCCTTTCTATCCATCGTTGACAACCTAAAACCAACTTGATCACATAAGAAAAGGATCAGATAACAAGACAAGTTTCATTTAAATCATAAATTCATACATTAAAGAAATTAAAATATACAATCTCAATTAAAAATGTAAATTGACTAGAGTATAATGAAATGGGAATGCATTATCAATCAAGTAATATAGTTTCTATCTAATTTTTAGCATAAGTTATAACCATCCATAATTATTATCATCGTAATTCATCGAAACATGAGTTAATTTTCCTTTGCGTGTATGTGTGTGTGTGTGTGTGTTGTGGTGAGGTCTTCACTTTTCTTCTGTCACATTTTACATGGTTTGGTAAGTATGTACAACACTTCAAACTGATTTCGTAACATTCACAATGGTTAGCAAAGATTAGGTTTGGGGCACTCCCTAACCTGGCGATTCGTGCTGCGCCAGCCGTGTGTTTGTTCTAATAATTAACATTTGCATTACATTATCAATAATAATCCATTATTGTAAAGTTAAGTGTCTAATTTACATGCTTAACATTTGTGGTTTTTTTGGTATTTCCTTTTTTTCCTTCATTCTTCCATTTTTTTAGGTATGTACAATAGTGTGTGAGTTAAAACATTATCTTGTGTCTTCCGTCATTGAAAAATCTCCGTCCTATACGCCTAGGTTGTAGGTTTATTTATTTATAGTGTCTTGCTTCGTGTCCGCTCCAACATTGGTTCTCGACTACGTGTGAGAGGGTGGGGGAGCGCGGGTTTCCTAACTAACTTAATAAAACGGGAATTTTCGTAGAGTTTCACATGTTGGGGGGGCGGGATAAATAGTTCATATGAAAAATTTGCTCGCAGGTGTGAGTGTGTTGCTCGCGGATTACAAGTACAAGTAGGCATCGTTTTAGTATTGGATATGTTGTTCATGACCGCGCTGCAGTTTCAAATTCATCATGTGTGTTTAAAGAATGCCAGCCGTCCAAAAATGCGGCAACGCGAACGAATCGATTGTGGGTCGATGCGAATGCAAACTCAAGCTATGCCTAGTTGTCTGCTCCGTTCCTATCGTAATTACTTGCACTAGTGAGAATAACAAGACTAGTGTAATTGCCGTAGTGGATAGTGTAACGCTATGATACTTAGAAGACCGACTCGGCCGAACGGGACAGGTGGATTGGATGCGACGGGCTGCGCGCCAGCCGCTTCTTGGGCAACTTGTCCAATATCTTCAAGAGTCGGGTAAAGTCGGGGCGATTCTCGTTTTTGAATGACCAGCACAGCATCAATATGTCCTACAAAACAAATTTCAATAAATGGAGTTAAATCATTCAAGTATTTGACGAAAGAAATGACTTACTTTAACCTCTCGAGACGCCTGTAAATTCGCCAATGTCTGCTTCATGCCCTTACCAACCTGGAATATTATAGCTTCGGGGGTTGCGACTTGAACGGCCATTCGCCGCACAATAATTCATACCAAATTGTACTGTAAATAAAAATAATCACACTTTGCTCTTGTAGTTTTAGTTTAGAAATGTAGCGGTATTTACCCAAATGCGTAAACGTCTGATTGCGTACTGAAGGGCAGTTCCTCGTCGTGTGATTGGTGCGCTCGCAGGCTACGAATGATTTCAGGCGCAAGGTAGCACAACCAACCGGGTGGAATACCCAAACGGTCAGATTTTCTAAGGAAAAACAATTTGTTTAATTGAAAGTTGATTTTATATTGTTAATCGGTACACACCTGTTGCCAAAACACAACTTCGTCACGCTAAAGATGCCGAAATCAGTGATGACCACCTTTCCGTTCTCCAAGAAAATATTTTTGCTCTTCAAATCTTTGTGGACTATGCCCTTTGCGTGCAAATAGCCCATACCCTTCAAGAAAATATCAAAGTCACAAGTAACAGTTTAGATTATATTTTATTAATCTGTACCTGTGAGATTTGTTGTGCCACAATAGTAGTCTTGTTCATGTTAAACTTTTCCTTCCTGAGATGAATGTGCGTGTAGAGCGTTTCGCCCTTACTGAGACTGGTGACAATGGCAAGTCGCGGTGGCTTCATGCACGCGCCCATGAAGAGCAGAAGATTTTCGTGGCGCGTCTTGCGGAATGTCGAGACCTCGATCTTGAACTGGTCAAGAATACGCTCGTCGTCCAGCAAGTCCATGTTCAGCACCTTGATCGCCACATCGCCGTGCCAATAGCCCTTGCTCACCTTGCCGAATCGGCCAGTGCCAATCACCTCACCAATTTGCAGCTCGTTGTATGGAATATCCCATTCTCGCATAGACAACTGTAACCAACATTTTTATTCTACGTTTATCAGCGGTTTCGCTAAACTTGTAAATACCGCAAGAAGTGCAATTGCTTTTAATCTAGCCATAATATAATCGTATTTTGCGAATCTCGCGATTTCTTAGTAAAACTTGAGATAATATAAATAATTATGTCGTATTCAAATGTAAACCAAGTCGAAAACGGTTTAATCACGTGCGGTTAATGCTTTTGCTTAACGCAACGAGCATGGTTGCCAAAAAGCTGCCACAAACTAACGGCGGAGTCATAACAAACGTTTGATTTAAAAGCAAATGTACGGATTTATCTAGTAGATGAATAAATTCAGGAGAACAAAGCTGGAAATCAAACACATGGCTTAATAATCTCCGCCGAAGTAAGAAACGTCTGCGCAGCATATGGCTACCATCGATTGTGTCGTCACATACATACACAAAATAAAAAGCGGAGACAAAAACAGCGAGGTCATTCGCGATTAAAGTTGCACAAAAAATATATGGCAATAAGACCACCTGTTAAGAAGCAACAGCGGCTGCCGCTGCATATTTGTTATATTGTGATACCGTCGATCATAAAGGAGTATTCAGTTGATGAAAAGAAATTGCATGCGTCTGAAAAGCGAAGGTTGACGCGTGCAGCAATGTGCGCACGTGGCGCATATTGAGTTCGCCGAGCGTGACCTTTAAAATGTTGCGTTTTCATCAATTTGATATGTATATTAAAGTTAGAACGTCGGGAATAAAGTAATATGTCTGATTTGTATGCATAAGGAGGTATGCATTGTAAACGCCCCAGCAACCAACAGTCCAATTCAATTATTTGTCAAAAAGACATATTTTCCCGAGAATGCGCTTGCATTATTCGCGATTACGCATAAACTATTCAAAAGACCACTCAAATTACGTATTTGCTGCATATTTTAATCAAACTTCTACGTACACTATTTTGTCGTGGCCATCTATGCCCATCAGCATTCGTTTCCGAATCGGAGACTTGACTATCCTGAGAGTCGACACGCACTGGAGTGCGGTCTGAGTCCGTGCTGCCCGAAACGGAAATTGTCCTGTCGCTATCCCTTGATTGCTGACTGCTGGTCAGATCTTGATGCAGAGTTGTTGTAGTGGTTAAAGAGCCATCAATTGAAGAGGTAGAATCGTTCGACTCCGGGAAAGCTTCTAAGAATAACAAAAAAAAAAAAAAGAGAACGTGACACAATTAGCGCACATCTAAAAAAAGAAGAAATCATTCATACCCGGAAAATTGAATGTTGTCTGCTTGACCTGTGGCGTTTGCGTCTGTATGAAAGCCGGACTGGAGGGTGTAGAACTGTTGCAGCTCGACGTGTTTGAACTAGAATCGGGTGCCTGCAAGCGCAGCGACACGCATACACACACACATATGTATTATTCTATCTAAATCAATACTTATACAATACTTAGTGATATAAGTGCGAGTGCTTACGCTATAAACAGGAATGTGATTGACGGATGCCTGCGGGTGGGAGGACTTGCGCTTGGTGATGGTCTCGATGAGCGTCTTGGCGTTGCTAGAGCGGCCTGAGGTGGGCGACGAGAAGACGGACTTCTCAGTCGGCCACTTGCGCTTGAACTCCTCGAGTAGCTCCGGCGGCAGGCCGCATGACGGCACCACCTTGTCCTCGCATTCGCGGTGACACTTGTACTTGCACTCCTTGCACTTCAGGCCTGAACCGAAATAGATCGGCTTATTGCAGACCGCGCACGGCCCCATCATCTTAAACTTCTTTTGGAAACGGTGCGAGATCTGGTGGCCCATCTGGTGGCTGAACGTCGCCATTGTCGGCGTGTGCGGCGACTTAGGAACCTTTAACGTTGCTGCGAAACAACAGGACATCAGTTATCGGTTCGTTAAATACCTCGCGTTTCAATTAACAACACTTACAGTTGCAACTATTATCATCGCTATCGTTACCGACGTGATTATACGGTGGCGATTTGATTGGACTCGTGAGTATAGGACTCGCACATCCGGTTTCCGGCCCCGGTTCAGTGGACAATCTTCCGCGACGAGCCACCGTTGTCGTTGTCTGATGACTATCACCATTGCTAACAAGATACACAGTTGAAACAACAGTAAACACGTGAAAACAAAAAATCAATAAGAACAAAAGTAAGCGCAATGAGCAGACAAAATACGCAATTATTAAAGCTGCGATTTCATTCAATAGTACAGCATTCATGCATTATTTGACTTTGTTTTGCTTGCATTGAAAGTAATTGATCGGAAAACGTGCATTACGCTATCTTTGACAGTGAATTGTTTCAAACTAAACTAAACAAGTATTAAATTAATAAGCTGATGTAGTTACGTTTGCACGATTTCGCCATTGTTGTCGTTCTTCGCCAGTTGAGACTCGTGCGACTTGCTCTTCGTCAGCGGATAGTCGGGCAGCAAGACCGTGGCGTTGATAGTACGATGCTTAGTTTTCGCCGGCGGCGTTGTCGGGAATTTTGCACCTGAAAACAACGCAATGCATGAAAATACTTTCGCAACATTCGCGCAAAATAACAGCAAATCAAAACAGAAGTGACACTTTCAGAACACAAGTATAGTTAGTAACTGGTTGGGTAAGTCAGTAGAGATCAAATTAATCAACATGAGAAGCGATTATCGGAGAAGTGCATGCGGAAGTACCTTTTCCTCTAGTTTGAGGAGGGGTAGTGAGAACACAATGAACATTCAGAGAGCTGATACTTGAAACGGACGCAGAAGGTGGGATCGCACCTGCCCTGTTGTTATTAATGCATTCTTCGGATGGTACGGAGGCGCGCGTGGTGCGAGACCGTCCCGCGCGCGGCGACAATCCTTTTAATGGCAGCTGCGGGTCCCAGGAGTCCCAGTTAAGCGGCATGTCGATCGTGTCGTTGTCGCCTTTTTTCAATACATCTGGAAAATGAAGGACAAACAAGGTAAAGACAATTGTAACGCGTACATAAACCAAAATTATTTTAAAATAAAATGATTTTTTTATGCGGTAAAGCTATGATTCTATCAAAAATAAATCCGGAATCAAATATTTTGCAATATTACAAATTCTTTGCGTGTAGACAAAACAATCAACAAGTAAAATCATTTTAATAAGTTTTCATCAAATTGATTAAAGCTTCATTTATAACTTTTAAAATAGAATTGTTGTCAATAAAATGTTGTGTGATTAACTGCAACTAATTGCGTTTCTAATAATAAATAACTATAATTACTAAAATCTTTATCGCGCGACTTATGGCCACCAAGACTCTATACATATTTACAGTGTCAATCAGAAATTTGTGTTGGGAATATAAAAAACAACATACTGCGGTGGTGTGAGAATATGCGTCTCTTACCTGTGTATTTTTTAAGATTGTGTAGTGCTTTGCACAACCGACTGAGTTCCTCGGGCCGCGCACCGCGGTCGTTCAAGATGGTCTTCAGCTCATGTTCACTTTTTTCCTGTAGTTCCTCGAACGAGTGGATCTTCTGGCAGAGCACATTGATGGACATCGCGCTCAGCCCGACGACTTTCAGCCACTGCGTGAGCGACGGTAGATGCGGCTTGTCGTTGGAGCGCATCTTCATTTTCGTCACAAGTTGATTCGAGAAGAGTTTGATGAGCTTGCCCTGTAACATGGTGCATTCTATTTATAAATATTGTTTTGTTATCATCTGTCGCCTGCAGACGTGCAATGCGCTATCCTTGACACAGAAATGCAGCGCGTGCGTTCGGCTGGAAAACAATGCGGAGTGTTGACATTACCTCCAGGGTGCGAATCTCCTGCTGCGTGAGCTCGGCGCTGGTGGCGCATTGTGTCCGCAAGCCCTCCAGCTTCACCGCCGACACATCGATGATGGATTGAATGATGTCCAGGTTCTTCTTGAGGTCCAGCTCGGCACTGTCCTCGGCCATCGCGAGCTCGGCTGGCGCGCGCGATGCGGCGCCCTTGCGTTGCTCACTGGCGCGTCGGTGGCCGAAGCTGCTGGCCGCGCGGCGCACGACCGCACATAGCAGGCCCGCCCGCCTGCCGCCACCGCCTTCGGTGCCGCACGGTGCTGGCTCGCTGCCTCCTTGCGCGTTTGTCTGAGCCCGAAACGCCGTTGTACGTTCCGCACTTAAGCCGCAAACAATCTTCTCACCGCCATCTTGCCGCGATACCTGTGGCCCCGTCTCTCGTAAAAGATGCGTAAAGGGTAAATACGCTCGTGAGTGTAGCGTGCGGAACGCGCCTTCTGCCCCCCACCGTCGCCGCCGGCGTCGCAGGCGTCGCAGGTCGCAGCGCGCTGTGACTTTTGACGTACGTCACTCACTGCGCTCATGCTGACACTCTAACAAAAATCAGACAGTGGGGGGTACATTTCAAAACGAGATGTATTCTTAGTTTCAAATTTCACCACTATTCCAATTGCCGTTAGAAGCCATCAGCAGTGCCCCCTTCAGGGCACACCAGAAGTAATCGAAAATGTAGCTGGTACATTGCCGTGCGTACAAGACAACTTTTCACCTGGTATGTTTACCATCATCTCCTGCTGCGTCTCCTGCAACCGTTTGTTATTTGAGGTTACGTACCTGAATCGATTTTTTATGGGCCGGGTTTTCGTCCTGCGAAGTGCCGGCGTCCCGGAGAATACAAACAATGCCGATCGCCGCCGCCGGCCGACGCGGCCGATGAATAATTGAGATCGGATCAATTCATTGCCCATATTCACGTGAGTCGCAGGAAGAAAATGAGCCGCCGCCGTCATGGATGATCCGCTAAGCCGAGGCAGCTCCTTCAGCCCTTCGGAGTCCTTCGAGCTCACCGCGCTCCAGTACGCCTGCAAGAAGGGCGTGCTCGAGGAGGTGAAGTATCTCATTGACAGTGGGGCTGAGCTGGACACAGGACCTGATCCTGCTCTGCATCTAGCCCTCAGGAAGGGCTACTCATCTATTGCATTGACACTGCTTCAGGCTGGGGCTGAGTATGAAGTTAGAGACTCTGTAAGTGAGATAGTAGCATTTAAAAGCTGATTATGGTTCTATTTTTATTCAAAACCTGATTTATTTCACAAAATATGCCTTTAACTATCCAATCACTAGTAATTAATTAAATGTTTATCTTTAAGCATGGTGATTACCCAATTCACATTGCATGCTCACATGGTTTACTCAGCATTGTACATACTTTATGTACACTGGGCTGCAATGTTGAAGTGCAGACCATCAAAGGGCTGTTCCCTTTGCATTTGGCCGCAAAATACGGACATATTCAGATAGTACGGTAAGTATTTACCTACGCCTGCAAAATACGCACCTTACACCTATTTCCATTTCGTCCCGAAGTTGTCTCTGCTCATCTGGGTGTAACATCGACGTGAAAAACGCAGACAACATACGAGCGGACATCACCGCGCTGAAATACGGGCACAATGACATTGCCGAGCTGCTGGATAGACTGAGGGCGACTGGAAATCGCGATTTGTATGCGCGACAACTGGTGCCCACTTCGAAGCCGGCCATCCGGCTTTCTTTGCGACTGCTGGGGAACTGCGCCGCTGGCAAAACGTCGTTGTTTAAGTCGCTGGGCGCTGGTTTGTTTAGTGCTTTGTTTCGTAGATCCAGTTCGCTTCAAAGTAACAAATGTGAGTCACAAATCGTGTACAAATCAATTGTTTGCCATAATATTGTTATTATCTATAGCGCGTCCATCGTCGCCGCTTCACACTCACATCGAAATGGACTTGACATCCAGGCAAAATTCGTTAAACTTTGAGTCATCTGGGAATCATAACTGCACGAATGGTATCAGCGTACAGAATGTAAGTTAGATTCTACCTTTCTGTGCCCTTTCTACAAACACAATTGATGTGTTTATCACTTTTACAAGTATAACACGTGTTAGATTGCATCAAAGAAATTTGATCTACAGATATTATACTGTTTGTACTAAACTCAAGCTACCGGTATTGTTTACTTTAATTGGTACAGTTTCTATAAACATTTTTCTTCGATATTACAACGTAGCAAAGATAAAAACATAATAATGGCGTGACAAATAGAATAAACTATTAAACTTTTGCATCTTGAAAAATAGTATTATTCAGTTTTATGCATTTTCAATATTTCAATGGAATTATTATGAAAATGTATGAAAATATAAAATATATTTAATATAATAAGTCGCAGTTGATTTCTTGGAATGAAATTAATGATCAAAACGTGTTTGCATCTATTGTTTGTTTACGTAAAAATCTAAAATCGTTATGTTGATTTTCTATTAAATTTAATTAATAATTTGTGGCATAACGAGCAAAACATTCTTAGATTTTCATAGAAAACAGTATTATGCGCGTGCAATATAATTATCAATTATATTTTATCTTGTTATGAATGAAGAGTATATTTATAACTTTATAAAATTAGCAATTATGAGATATTATGCAAAAAACATTTCAATTATTTTACATGCAATGTATTTTTCAACAGGTTGATATCTCAAATGTTGGAATCGTCACAGTATGGGAATTTTCCGGCCAAGAAAACTACTTCCCCACATATCACAATTTCCTATACCCAAATCCTTACTCGATGACAGCGATTCTCTTCAATCTCGAAGAACCTCCGAGCGTTCAAGTGAAACAAGTCTCCTTCTGGCTGAATTTCCTCTGTGCTCGTCAACAAGCCGACTTACCAACATGTAATTCAACCCTACATTACATATTTCTTTATACAATGTGTTTGGTGGTTTTATTTTCTGGTCTACAGGTGAATATGGCAAGATTATTTTAATAGCAACGCATGTGGATGCGACGCGTTCAGTCAAGAACCAGCAAGGCGAGTGGATCAGCTCCGATGCGCAGAAAACCACCGAAACGATTATGAAGCTCTTCCCGCACGTGTCGAATCTGTCAAAGGATACAATCGTCATGGACTGCAACGTGCCGGCATCGTACGCCTTCAAGCAATTGAAGACTTTGCTGTGCGCCATTAAGCAGGACTGCATTCGCGTAAGTTGACGCATCGTGCGCATTCAGCGCATCCATATCATTCGACTTACGACTCTTTGGTTTCCTTCTGAGTGTCCTGCGCCTCCCGCGCCCGCCCCGCAATGTTGAATGCTAACTGATGATTGTCATTGATATGTTTGTCAGGAACGGAACGCATGCCGCAAATCTTTGCTCGAGTTATCTTTGGAATGGTGTTTCTTTTGCAGGGCTCGGTGCTAGATAATTTTATAAGGCAAGGTACGCAGGCTGGATATGATTTGTTAACGACGCCTTGCCCAAAGGTTAGCGACACTATCCAACTATTTGTCTGTCGGCTTTTATAAACTATCAATCCGGACTAGATTCAAATTCAATTTCACCACGCAACTAAACCTACCAAATCGCAAATGCAAGTGTTGTTGATCTAAATTTTACAAAACGCAAGCAAACCAAAATGAATACCGTTTTGTTAGTTGTGTAACTTGTGTTGTTATCGTTTGTTTTCGCACATTTTCACATTTTTATTGTTTTGTGGCTTCGATATTTACATTCAACGCCGATATTGCACTCGGAAACACTAAGTAATGAATAATTTCAGCAAACGATAGGATCGTGGACGGGATTACTCGAAGCGAGTTTGCTGTGGTTGGCGACCCTGCAGAAGCAGTACGAGCAGTTTCCAGTGCTCAACCGGAAGACGTTTTCGGCGTTACTGCGGACCCAGGTGAATCTGCTCACCTCCGATGAGCATATCTACGAACTGCTCCAGCAGCTGCATGCGATGGGGGAGGTGCATTGTGTGCACAACTTGATTGTCCTGAACGTCAACTGGCTCGGCAGCAATTTAATCGGAGAGTTATTGTCGATGCGGTTTTTGGAGCATGCGAGGGTGACGGGGGTTTACACTGCGGAGGATTTTCAAGCTTGTTTTAATCAATGTGATGCCATTGCTGTGCTTGAGTTGCTGGAGGCTTTAGATTTATGTATTCCGGTAAGTTGAGTGTTCAGTTTTACAAATCGGATGGTTATTTGAGTTGTTTTTTTTTGATTCTTGCAGTGTGAGGTTGAAGAGGATATCGAATATGAGTTTCCCATGTACAATTTGACTGAGACGCTCGCAGGATTATGGGATCCTGACGATCCGCGCTACGCCAACGACGACTGTTGTTACGGAGGAGTTCGTTTTCGGACTGCCCCGAACGTACTGCATATCTTCAACGCTGTTTTCTGCTATATTCAGGTACAATATCACCCAAATAACCAAACATACATAAACTAATATACAAGCAATGTTTTGTCAGGTGGAAATGCGTAAATTAGCCCTAGAATATTCCGACAGTGACATCGACTTATACCAGTGGTTCAAAGGCTCGAAATTCTGCACAGTTTCATTGGAAACACTAGTCACCCTCGTCGAGGACGACGATGGGGATGAATACATCGAAGTGAAAATTCGCGGACCAAGACAAAGCTCAAAATATTGTTTTTACTTTTTTGAACAGATCATTGCGACCATTTCACAAGTAAGCCCTAATCATTTTCTACCCCATAATGTTTGTGTTTCGCGTTTTAAATGAGTTTTAACTATTGATTTTTTCGGCTGCAGGCAATTTATAATGTGTGCCCTGGTGTTCTCTACGAGCGTCGAATTTTAAGCACGAACCAATTACGAGCGCACGACAACAATGTCCATGAATACGACGCACATATCGTCACATCCGCCATGTTGGAGAGCGAGTCCATCTTGGACGTCGCTTTTCGTAACCAAATCACTGACCAGCAGGAAAGTCTGGTTCAATTGGTTCTTTTCGGTACGATTTTCTATAAAATCATTTATTATCGTGATAACATAAAATTTTTCTTTAGATAATCCAGATTTAATCTGTAATATTCAATGGGGATGTGCATTGAAAGTAAACGAACTGCCAGCGCCGGTGAAACTGAAGCTCTGTGGGATGTTAGACCCGCCAGAGTCGCATGGCCGCGACTGGTGTCTGTTGGCTTTGCGTCTTGGCTTGTCACAGGAAAGAATCGCCGCGCTGGATACACAACACACCAGTTGTACGATGCGATTGCTCTCCATTGCTAACTGCACCATTGGTGCGCTTGTCTCCAGTCTGTACGAGATTGACCGTAAGGACGCGGCAATGGCCGTCCTGCAACTCTCTCCAATACACAAGATCATCGCCAGCGATGAGCCGCTCTAGATCGTTCTTAACTTACATCCTACGAATACACGTGTACCACGATACGTAATTTACATCTACATCAACACTTTACACTTGCATTTTTTACACTTGTATTGATTCCATGTTGATTCCGAAGTGAAAACACCGTCCACTTTAATCGTTCGCTTTAATCGTTAAATGTATGAGAGTTTTTCTTACGTTTCTGTTATCATTCTTGTTCTGATTTTATCAAATTATTTATTACTATGCAATTGTTCTTATGATGGATCCTAGAATACTTCTAGCTGAATTTGTATTTACTAGATTGTGTCTCACTTTAAATGCTAGTCGATAATGCAATTTGCGCTGAGGGGAAACTAATTGAATTGCAGCAGGGACTCAGTATTGTACAAATGTGATAAAAATATTTCTACAATTGTGAATATGACTACTGATCTAGTGATAAGTGATACTTGGTAGATTATACAAACATTTGCATGCATCACTTTTATCTATTGTCGGGGAGAGCGAATAAAATTCAAATTTTACTCAGATGCGTAGCGTGATTGAATTTTTACGGCAACCTAGAATACATTTTTAGAGTTATGCTGGTATTTTAAGGATGTTTCGAACAAACGGTATATTTTTTTCAGTTTGTTGGGCGTGTTGCATACATCCGGAGATTTGCCCGACCGCAACCGAAGACCTCGAGTGCGGCAGTAGGTGATTCTGATTCATAAAGTGCGGTTAGAAGCCCACTGGTGTTGAGGAAGGTTGTGTGGTCGTGCAGCTGTGGCCCCGTTGCGCCGTTGTTTTCCCCGTCCCGCCGCGCTCGCGCCACCGCCAGCGCCCCAAACCTTGCGACGGGCCTCCGTGGATGCGCCGGCCGCGTCACCCGCGATGGACACGCTCTTCCTGCCTGACCCCATGCAACGCTACTTCTACGACTTCTTCCAGTGTTGTGAGGAGGACAAGTCTGGCAAAGTGGACGTAAACAAATTGCTCGAGCTGATCCGGTCCGGCAACGTGCCGGACGAAACTATCGACCAGGTAAGTCCCACGGAAATGAGGAAAACCTCCGTTTGAATATGTTTTGAGCAGACAACTGTCTTACAGATAGCAGATATCTGCTGGTCGCAAAGCGCGAGTTATGTGAACAGCAAGCAGTTTTGCTCTGCGTTGAAACTAGTCGCTGCTTATCAATCAAACGTGCCTATCAGATCTGAGATTTTGTCGTCAAGCACCGTGGAGTTGACATGGCCGCGGTTCAGCAAGCCGCATGTGGAACCACAGGCGGATTTGATCGAGCTGCGCAATGACGATTCGGTGAGCACCGACTCGGAGGTGGACAGCGAGACGTTGAGTGTGGGCCGAGGAGGCAGTCCGGGTGCATCGAGCACGGCGTCCGACAGCCCGACACCGACGAACAGCGTACAGGATCGCAGCTGGGCGATCACAAGCACATGGCAGGGCCTGGTCTCCGAAGAACAGCGCCAGCTGCTCGGTACGGAAGAAGAGTCCTCGGACCGGCACAGCAGCGAGGAGGATACCGAAGTCTCGACGGAAGTGTGGAACATCACGCCCGAACAGCGCGAGTACTACACCACTCAGTTTAAGTCTCTGCAGGCAGATACGAACGCGCTGCTCGCCGGGTCAGTCGCGCGAATGTTCTTCGAAAAGTCCCGCCTGCCCGTGCATGAACTGCGCAAAATTTGGCAGCTGGCGGATGTGACTAAGGATGGTGCACTCAGCCTCCAGGAATTCAGCGCGGCGATGCATCTGGTTGTCCTGCGACGCAACCACATCGAACTCCCCACTACCCTCCCACCGCAGCTGCAGCCGACGAGCGCATCGCCAGCCTCCGAGACGCCCGAGACCGAACCAATTCTCTCGCCACAAACGAAAGAATCGTCCAAGGAATGGACCAAGTTCGTCGACAGTCCGACGAACTCCGTTTCATCGCCGGGGCCGAAACCGGTCAACTTTGATTTTCATAAGGGTGCGCTGGAAATGGACCCGAAAATTTTACACCCTGTTGCTTTACGATTGACGCCGGAGGTACTCAACGACGACGAGGAGGCTAGTCCAAAGAAGAGCGAGGATAAGACTACGAGCGCCATTCAGCGCCCGCAGCCGAAGAAGTTCGCCGTGCCCGGCCCCGGCGCCATCCCGCCTCCGCCGTCGGACGGGCCCGTTAGTTTGCCGGCGTTTCCACCGCCGAAGAAAGAGAAACCGCCACCGCCGCCACCTAGACCATTCAAAACGCACGGGCGCAGCTCCAGCCTCGATCTTAATAAACTCAACAAGCATCTGGCTCCGCCCACCGTGCCGCCACGGATTAGTCCGAATGTGCAGCACAGCACAAAGAAACAGTTGATTAACCAACGTTCCGAGGACTGCCACGTCAAAAAGGATCAGACTCAGTTCGCCGACTTCGAACAGTTTGAGAAATACGAGAATGTGTTAGACGAGATATTTCCAGGTAATTATGTTACACTATTTTTCCAAATGACTATCCATCGCATAAACCGAATGTGTTTATCAGTCATACGTTGTTTATTCGCTGTTATTCGAATTTGAACCGTTTGTTTACGTTTGAAAGGTGATCAGTACGAGGCCGAGCGCAAAAAGCTGTTCGCGCAGTTCTCGGTAACACCCGAGAACGCCTCGCAGGACATCGCCGACGGACCGCGAAGACACGGCGCGTTCGAAATCTACCGCAAGCCGCCGAAAACACGCGACAGCCCGATGGCGGCCGAGGACCGCGCCAGATTCGACCTGTTCGTGAAACTGCAGGAGCAGAACACGGTGCTGCTGCGTCTGTGCCAAGAACTGAGCCAGGAGCTGGTCGAGATCAAGGAGGAGAAGGTGGCGCTGAAGCTTAGACTGGAGAAACAGGTGCGCGGCGACGCCAGGGCGCACAACACTACGCCCGCGCTCGCAAAGAATAGCAAATAATCGCGCGCGCGCACGCAGACGCCGAAGTCTATATACACATGTTAGGATATCATTACATTAAACATAGCTGCTGATTCGGTGAATGCCGCCACGAGAATCTAATTTTCGCAGCGCATTGAATCATTACGACGAAATCAAAAATCAAAACGCGGTCATGACGCGGCGCATGATTATTTAATTGTAAACAAATATCTAAAGTGAAGTTATTATTAGCAATAATGTTACAATTATATATCTTGTTGTATATATTATCGAGAAATTATTATAAACAAACACTCATCGAGCGGCGGCGTGGTCGTCACTGATTTCTCAAATTTGACAGAAATTCGAATTCACTTTGTACTTCACTGTGTTGTACGCGCGGGCAGGATGTGGAATGGGCAAACCTATGTAATGTGATAATTTGAAAATTGCATGAATTGAAAATTCGACTACGACAACAACAAATACAAGTTAGAACGCACCAAAATGTAGACAAAATAATATTCGAAAACTAACTACTATTTCGCCTTCAAAAAGGCACACTTATTTAATTTTTTGTAAAATTGTACATCAGATGTATCGAAAACAAAATGAAAGAAACAACAAACAAAACACACACACAACCGAATTTCAATTGATTTACATACACACACAGACACGCGCGCGATCGTCGCAAGTTGCCGAACTGAAATTATTTTTTATACCGATGAAATTCCATCAGGAGCACTGTTGTAATAACTGTGGTTTTATTCTTATAGGTTATGATTATAAATGATATATGCTTGCAATAAACATTCTTCAGATGATTCAGAGCAAGCGGAATGCCTGCACTTATCTCACCCGCAACAGAGAAATGTTTTGTCAACATTTGTTATTTTGCATGAACCGCACAGGTTCAAAAACACACACACGAGAGAGAGAATTGTGCGAAGCGATAACGCAAATACAAATTGATACAGAAAAACAAACAGACAAATACCAAGTGACACATTGTTGTATTGCTTTGTGAACGTTCGGTTCGTTTATTTCCTTTTTACCGCTAATTCTACAACATCACACACACATAAACCAAGTTATCATCGCAATCGGTTACCTAACAATGCCGCCCATCCAACGAAACGTTGCATATTCCTCATTGTCGACCACAAATGTGAAGTCAACTTGATAACGGCCAGGCGGCATGCTGGGAATTTCGTTTTCATCTGGTATCCAGTTGGTAATCTTATAACTCCCCTAAAAATCATCGCATCACATCAATAGTATTAATATCTAGTAAAAATCATCATTTACAGCTTTAATTGGACAATCCGAAAGGTTGGAGCTGTCGAAAATGCTGCGCAGCTTTAAAGTGTTCTTCTCGAACGCTTCGCAAATATTCGGCGACATTTTGACTGGCGTAGGAATGATTTTCCCCTTACGATCGAAGTAAGTTTTAATATTCATCTATAATATGAAATCACATCTTGCAATCATCGTTTTCTTGACTTGGTAAGAAAATAGCTACCACTAGATTATTTGTGAGATCTCTCAAGAGAGTGAAAGATCCACCGAACGTTCGATCGCCATTTTTGTTCGTCATGTTGAAAACCTTGACGTTTTTCACGTTTTTGCTTGGCACGGAAAGCACTCGGATGCCGACATGATCGATTTTCACGCCCTGTAAGCAATGTTTAATTAGTTGTATAGAAACAATTTAAAACCGGGGTAGAACCTCAATGGAATCAAACTGATTAACAATTAGTAGTAGTGGAATGACGGCACAGAGGATTAGTTTTATGAACATGGTGAATTCGAATTGTTTGCAAGACTGAATTGCTGCTGGTTGGCTGAATTGAATTTATATAAAGATATAAGCCATTATGATAAGCACAAAATCGATTTTAAATTGATCATTAAACTATTAGTTCGGCGTCGGGATATGTTAATGATTATTATAATTATTATTATTTGTAATTTGCGTATCAAAATGTAAATCATTTTTTTTGGAACACAAAACAATTATTGTTGAACGTGTACAGTGTCCAGTGACATCCACAGTCAACAAACGGTAAGTTTTTTGAAGATTTTAAAGGAAATATTCTTTATATTTGCGAATTTGTTTGATTTTGCGTGTTTAAAATCGTAAATTTTTACAAACAACAAAATAAGTGACTTATTAGTGAATATATTATTATTATTTATACAGCATATATCTTCACAATCATAAATAATTTGTATGTATAATAATGACATTTGGCTAGTTCCAATCCGGCGCAATCAAACAGTACCGTCTGTAAGATCGCCCGGATTCTCCAACGCGCCTTTGCGCTCATTGATGCCGTTTACCAATTTCCTGAAATGACCCAATGGCAAGCCCAGCGTTTTCAAATCGGTCTCGGTCAAAATCATCAACGTGTCCAAGTCGATCTTTTGATCCTCGAATCGCGGTAGATATTCTCCCAAGCCGCAGGCGGTGAGGAAACGTTCGATGGCCGACAGCTCAACGTCATCGTCACTGTTATCACTGTCGAGCAGGTCTACGTCGTCCTCGTACCGGGACTCGATCGAGCTCTTGTCGTCGACAGTTGGCTCAGCAACCACGAAGTTTCGAATACTCTTACCGAAAGCAAAGCTGCCTAGGTCGGGACGTGAAAATATACTGGCTTGATTTTCGTTCAGTTGTTGTAGGAAGTCTGGTTGGGACTTGGAACGGTGGAGGGTACCACTGCCGCTGATGGTGTTGTCCAAAGCATCTTCAGCTTCGTTGAACATGCTCTCCAGGTGATTAGCGCCGGTACCTTCAATGGCCCCCGTCAATAGCACATCGGTGTCATGACGAGATCCTTTGATGGACCTGGTAGTTCTCTTTCCATCTTCAATTGTGCTTATCTGGAGTGGAAAATAATCGTAAACTATTAGAATACTTTGATGGGAGTTGTGCTTACTATGAACTCTCCATTGTCCGCAACGTTGCCCTTTTTGGCCATTGCTCGTCTTTGTACTGTGCCCATGCCCAGACTCTTTTTGTTCATGGTACCCCCGCTCACCAACGCCGAGAAACTATTCCTGGGCATCTGTTGGTCGGGTTGATTGAGGTTGGACATTGATCCACTCTTAACTCGCATTTTTAAGGTGTGAATTATCGAGGGTCTTGTCGTGGGTCTACGGACATCACGGTCGGTTTGGTAGATGCGCTGTTGCTTGTTGTACTTGTAGTATTTCTAAACAAATGATGAATAACCAACAAGAAATAAAAAAAAAAAACGCAAATTACATACATTGAGGGTCTTTTCCACATCCTTCTTGGCCTTCTCCTTCATAGCCCGCACTTTCCGCGTCATTTTGTCATCCGCTTCCAAATCACCACGGAACTTATCCAGCACCTGCAAAATCTCATCCCGATTGTTCAATCCGGCTAATCCCTGAGGTGTGCGCCTATCAATATCCATCGCATAGATGTTCACACCGAACTTGATAAGGAACTTGACAATATCCAGGTGGCCTTGGGCGGCGGCAAGATGCAAAGCGGTGTTTCCGAAGAAATCCGCTTTATCTGGATCACCACTATCACACACAAACAACGCACGTTTCGTTAATCTTTTAATTGACTCCCAGTGACTGATTAAATACTAGATAAACCAAATTCAAGCTGGAGATAACTCACCCTCTTGCGCACAACAAGCTTAAAACATTATAATGTCCATGAAATGCGGCGTAGAGCGTTGGTGTCATACCCTGTTCATCCCGACTGTTGCAATCCTTCTTGGTGGCTTCCTTCAGAATGTCCTTCACCTCGAAGCCATCCTGGGCGGCTCTGTGAAACAATGCGTGATCAAAATGACCGCATCAGGAGATATGCCGCGCTGCGTGTTCAATTTCTTCTTTAGTCTACTTTTAGTGAAATTCATTTGGCGCGCGCGTACGGTGAACAATAACAGAAAAATATCAGTGTTTAATTATATTAGAAATTTTTCTAACTAGGTGTGCTCTCACCATTCAATTATATTTCGCGCATAATTTATTACGAGTACGTGTTGTTTTATCATTGTGTAAAAATCTAATTTTTGCACGCGAGTTCAAATTCTAGATTTACACTCAAAATAAAATTTGTTTTGATGACATTCCATCACCGTACGCTCCAAAAGTTGCCATTTTGCTTATCAGTTGTTTGATTAATTGATTACTCGAGTGATATTATTAACGTTTTATCGTTGGCAATTATGGACTAAAATTTCGTAAAAAAACATCTCTGTATTATCCAAATCGATCGGCCCAAAAAATGTTGTAATAAAATGACGATTATGCCCAATAATGCGGTAAAAAACACACGCACCCATCAAAGACCCGGATGGCAACTTCCTGTCGCCCGCACAATACAAATAATAAGAACAACACAACAAAGTACTCTGCAGGTGTTTGACTTACTTGTGAAATCTATTCGTTGTCATTTTGTACGCAGTAACGGTAAACGATGCACTCGGTCTTATCTCGGCGATTTCCAACACGCTGGGAAAAAGGCACTCTCGATGGCCGATTCGCGTTTGTTTATTAGCGAGCGCCGAATGTGTGCGCGAGGCACCACGACGAAGTGAAAACAGCGACGGAACACCTGATTACTGGCGTGCGACGCACCGAATCCGAACGCGTACGCCGACCGAATAAACGTTTGTATGCCGTGCCGAGCCACCTGGCACACCTGGCGTGAACCTGATACGCGTGCCCGCCAGCGCCGCGGCCAGACCGCAGACATTCCAGAGGCGTCTCGGTGGGTTTTCGCTCAAGCTGGAGATCAGCGGAGTGATCACAAGAGGTCAAGTTCACTCATGGCGAGGAGGTGGGAGGTAAGTTCAGCGAAATGGGTTAGTACGGTCCTTGGCCTTGCTGGTGGTGGGATCCACCTGTACTCTTCGCGTGATGGCTGACTTTTGTTCAATGCGAGAAATCTTTGCGCTCGGGTTTCAGATGAGGACAATGCACTCTATGTTTATACTGTAATTACTTTCTAGTGTTGTTGTTGTGCAGGATATTGTATCTTGGAAGTCACGTTTCTATGACTCTGAGATATAATTGCGAAAAAGTCATTTTACGGAGATGGTGTACCCGGGGGAGAAAGAAATATAGAAAAATAAGACCTTTAAAGTTGTTCTTTTCATATCGGGGACTAGCAGTTACATAATGGCGGATTATTTATGCATAACACCTTGTTATGGCAACGGTAATCAGACAGTTCCCAGACTGTACCCGCACGAAGTGTAAATCAAGCAAAAATTTAATTTTGAGGTTTTTTTAATGATTGCATCACAGAAATTGTTTCCATTTATTAGGAATTTTGATTTAACAGTTATTTATTGTTTCTTTGAGGTTTTGTGCACATACGTATACAAATTGTTGTGAATGTTAGACATTGAAAACATAATGAAAACAGGGCGTGTATACAACCGAATTTGATTCCAATGTTTGGCACTATTTGGTATACGCTTATATATACATATATATTAAACATTTAGAACATTTAAGACATTTTGAATGTCCATTTGGTCCGACCGTACCTATCACTCCTCCAATTTGCACAAAAAATGGCCCCAATTTCCTTAAAATAGAGTTTTGTATATAAAATTTAAACCACGCAACATCCATCAAAACATTTCTGTTTTACATTTCTGCGTCTTGTGTATAAAAAATACTTTAGTTCTAAATTTATTTACTAAATTATGCGTCGATCGGCGGCGGCGTCCAGCCCCCGAAGGCTTTCTCCAATTCCCTGGCGACTGCTATACTGAGCCGATCGCATTTATCGTTTGCGATCACCTGAATACCAATTGGTAGTCCCTGGGAGTCAAGACCCATCGGGACATGCGTCGCTGGCAGCGTGAGAACATTGACAATTCCCGTGTAGGAAAAGTTGAACGGTTTGAAGAGTGGTTCATTGTGATGTGGTGCGGCGGTCGGGTGCGTCGGGTACAGCAACACACCATCATCTCCGAGAAGCTCCATCATCTCCCTTCGGAACACATCTCTTTCCTCTACGAATTTCTCATAGACTGAACTACCATAGCCAGGTCCAATCTTTTCCGCTAGCGCCGTGGTCAAGGCAATGAAGGTATGCTCGGAATACCCTACGCACCACTTCAGAAACTCCCATGGGATATTGATGGATCCACGCAGGTTAGCCAACTGCTGTTGGAACATCATCGATGGCGTCTTCATATTGTACAACCACATTTGGAAACTTTTTCGGAATTTCTTCTCTTGTATGCGTTCCGCTTTGATCTTGTGCGCTTTGTCCAAGTGAAGAGCAATCTTCTCAAAAAGCACCCGGATCTCTTTACTGACAGGGGATACTAATAGTGATCCGGTGTCACTGTCCTGATAGAAGAATCGGATTTTTTTAATATCGACAGGTTCATCCAATCGGAGCAACTTCTCATTGGTACCGGCAATAATTCGGAGCAAAGGTAGAAGGTCATCAGCACGTCTACAAAGCGGACCAATACCCAGGAAACTATCCTGTTCCTTAGTCACAGGACGCGGATACTGTCCCTTGTTGGAAACGACGAATTTCGAAGGTTTATGACCAAAAACGCCGTTGAAGAAAGCCGGCATTCGAATGGACCCGCCGATATCCGAACCGATTCCAAAGGCGGAAGCACTTGCAGCCTGTGCACAGCCCTCACCTCCCGAGGATCCTCCTACGATATGGTTACTATCGTATGGATTTCTCGTTCTGCCATGAACCGTGTTATTGCTTTCCCACCTGTAATGTAAACATTGACAGTGAGCATCTGCGACAGCAGTTAACAATTAACAAGAAAGCTTGAAGACACTATTTCCACATAGAAATACGACCTAGATGTGCACTCATTGCATATATGAGCCGCTTATTTTGAAAGTGGCCTAACTCCATTTATCTTCAAATCGAGATATTGAAAGTTTTGCGTTTCAATGAATTTAAAAATTTAGGTAAAAGATACTAAGGAGTCATACTGCTTAAGCGTATCTAAGGATGTTAAATTTAAAGTTCCTGTTAAAATAGTGGCAATTATTAAGTAAATAACGTGCGTTTCCTTATCAAGAATGGAGTTGGGCCACTTTCAAAATTAACAGCCCGATTCATTATAAAATTTGAGGATGCCCAAGTCCATTCAACATAATTTAAGATGTTTCAAATTGAAAAACAAAACGTTTTCGTTTCACAGACAACTTCGTGAAGTAATACATTTTGTTTGTTAAAGTCTGCCAAACCCCAAAACTTCTCAAAAATATTCTTTCTTTCTTCTTCATTATAATTTTTTGTGCACGCATTCCGACAACCACAATCTTTGTTTTCGAAATTTTTTTCTTGAACAATACTTCCGGTTTGACTGCCAGATCTTTTTTCCTGAATTCTGTTTAATCTTTCGCACTTTTTAGATATATGGTGCATCACTCTTTTCTGCATTGTTATTTGAATCTTCATCCTCTGACGAGGAATATTGTTCTATAATTCTTTTTGTTATTCGCTTTTTTTTAATTATTAATTACTATTTCTTCTTCACTATATGAACTAAGTGGTCTCCTTCTGTTCTTCCTCATGGGTGCAATAATTTCTATAATTTAATATTAAATTTTAAGTTTTATAATAATTAATCGTACAGGTTAATTAACCAACGCAATTGTCCCAAAAATAAGGTGAACTTGTAAATACTAATTAATTGAAATTACCTTCATCGCTGCTTTCCGACATTATCAATAGTAAATATCTTGATGTAACTATAAATGGAGTTAGGCCACTTTCAAACTGCACGGCTCAGTTATTCAATTAATTCGGAAAACTTATGTGTAAAGAATGTACCGTATTTTCTCTGAATATAAGCAATCTGAAGTGCGTCACTGATAAATAACATGAAGTTGTACATGTAACCATGGTAACCGGCAAAAATTTAAAAAACGGAGTTAGGTCACTTTCAAAATAAACGGCTCATATAATGATACTTACCACATGCACAGCTCCGAAATATTCGTGAGTCCAATTGGAATGGCTCCAGCCTTTCGCAGCAAGCCGATTGTATCGGCATCCTCTTCAGCGATGACATGCCTGCGCTTGTACAGTCCGGAAGACTGCATCATGCCTGTAACATATCATTTGGATCGTTAGGAATTCACATCGTGCATGAGACCGCGGCGTGTTTCACGATTAGTGAATAATAAACTAGTTTCGGCGTCAACATTGCGCACTTGACCTTGAGACAGTAGACATTTAATTACTTGAGTAATATTATTGTATATTACTAGTAAGTTTACCTTTGACTGCGATACAGTCCTTGGTAGTGAATGGCACCCCTAGGAATGGTTTCTCCTTCGCGAGGGTCTCCTCGTCCATGGTGGCGGCGCGTATGAGCTCATCGGCGGCAGCCGCCTCCTTCATGGCGTCCTCGAATCGGTCCGACACCACGCAATTGAGCGTCGGGTTCACGGCCTCTATCCGCGCGACAAACGCCTTCATCACCTCCACACTAGTCAGCTGCAAAGTTGGAAAGCAAGAGTTCAGTTACACACCCAACAAGTCCAACGAAAAATGTTTTATTGTGCGCAATTAGCGCGCATTGTTCAATTACGCCCTCGTCGGCCATTAAAATGCAATCATGTCTTCATTTCTTTATATTAGCGCTGTTGTGACTTGTAAATTCAACGTTTATTGCTTTCAATTCGTAATTAGATGCGCAATTAACGCGCTTGTAAACTTTTTTCAACACGTATCAAAACAGTCAAGATTTTGCTATGCACAAAATGGTTGTTAGGCAACGAATCAATTATTAAATTAATGTGTTGGCTACTTTTATAATCATTAAAAATTTCCTGAATTTATGCATTCCAAGATAACAATTTCGCGTACAGCAGCGATAATTGTAGTTATTTGTGAATTACTCGAAAAGCAATCAACTTGAATCAAGTATTTCTTTTGATTTCTATTTATTATTACATTTTGCATCAAAATATGCAAAAAAATTTAATGAATACATATTTTTATCACAATATTCATGAAATTATTTATAACTTTCTGTGAAATTATCAAATCAATAATTTATTGGAACTCGTCAGTTTAAAATATAATTCTGATTATTATTTGCACGATTATAGTTTTCTGTAATTCATTAATAACTGTAACTGACGAAATTGGATTTTCGCAAAATTAATATTTCGTTAAGTGCGCTCGACGTGATGTTAAAAAATGGCAGACGATTTATCAATCAGATTGGCCACCAATTCAAAATCCAAACTCCATTGTGTCTGAACCGCCATTGTTTCCGCCTCATTTTGCCCACAAAAAGCAGATGATTGCCGATAACTTATCACGACGTTAAGCGTGCTTATCCGTAAAACTTTTCCATACTTCCGATTATTTTTAATTAATTAATTTACGAAATTGCTCGTAACGTTCGCTAATCAACGTAACCAACGTAAACTTCAAGATAGCCAGCGCTAGAACACTGCATGTGTGCGTGTAGGTTGTGGCTTATAAATGTTTAAATGTAATAATTGTTATTTTTAACGTGCGCTGCCGTTTTACTGCTCGTTCGACGAATCTGTTACGCGACGTGAGTCATGCGTGTCGAGGCGGGACGCGCTTTTCATGTTTTTCACCATCCCGATCTATAATTATGAATAAATGCATTGGCATCGGTATTACAAAGCAGCGCATCGACGCCGACGCCACGGCGTGAATTTCTGTATCAAAACGCACTGAGTTTAAACAGACTCTTTCACATGAACATACATACAGAGTGTAGAATTTATTATATTGTGGATATTATGTGTTATATTATTAGTAAATTATAGTTATGTAAAGATTTTTTTACAATTGGAAATTGGACAAAACTATGCCACAAAAATATTAATTTTGACATATTTTGAGGTTTCTTGATCACATATCTCGTGTTAAATTGCAAAGTTCTTTAATTTTTATCTCATGAAAATGTTCAAACGTTCTAATAGAATATTATGTGAGTGAAAATATCTTGTTGAACTACAAGCATTATTTTTGCACTCCGAGAGTAATTTTCTCATCCTAGATTCCGGTTTTACTTAATTTAGTGTTTATTCAATGCCGCGCTTTGTATACAAATTTTTGCAGCTGGAATGCATTCGCGTATTCAATAAATATTATGACTATGACTTCATCGCACATAAAACAATTTTTTTGTCACTCCAAAGAATAGATTAATCAAGTACATAGTTTAACTTTTCAGCAAATTTACCTCGTTATCTCTATAATATTTAATTAAAAATAACTTTTACATCATTTTAGTAATATAATAGTGAGTTTTAACTTTGTACATGCTAAGTTATATTATAAACGAGAATGTGAGTTTGCTTGATTGTTTCATGCAAAAATTACTGAATTAGTTTTGATGAAACTTTACAATGTTATAGTTTATTCATTAAAACTGGAAATTTTGTTGTTTTATTGCAAAAATATAACATGAAAGGTGTAAAATAAACAAACCAAGATGACTAGAGTGCATTTCCCATTTCTTTAAAATAAAACTGAGAATCTTATTGGCGCTTTATCCGCCGAAGCCACAAAAAGTAATTAATTAATTAATTAAACAACTTTTTTTTAAACCTACGAGGAAGATCTGATCTCGCAGTATACAATATCCGAGTATCCTGGACATGAACATCGCATGCATAGTAAAAAAGTTTAATTAGGTTTTCAGCGAAGTATGCTCGCTATTTACTACTTTTTCACTTTTCAACTTCCGGTTGTTGGCAGTATTTTACTTGTTTTTGGTTTGCGTGGCAAACACACTCGTGTTTGTTATTATGCATTATGCAAAATGTATGAAAACACGCGCGGAAGGTAACAATTCGCCAATAAAAAGAAAACAATTGCCTTTGAATGATAACCACACATTGGATTATCACGACTATCGGTGCATGCAGACAGTAAATTGTGACATATGATAACAAATTATTGATTTTGGCTAGGCGCACTTAGCAATTTCAATATTTCAATACTTTTATGCGAAAATACATAGTATTGGACATTTCTGAAGGTTTTGTTGGATCAATTTCAGCTTTACTTCGCTAAACTAATAGTTTCAGCTTTAAATTATTTATTAGACAACCACTCAACAAACCACATTCGAAAATATATAGTGCAAACAATATTTTTCATTTGAAGTGTTTTTCTACCAAGAAAAATGTAATTTATGTTTGCCAACTTATTCTCGAACGTAATTAGCCTGTATTTTTAGAATTGTTGATTAAAAGTGGTAATATATGTGTGCATTGATAGTAATCGAATTCCAATTTCAATTCCCCTGTCAATATTTGCCGTTCTGTCATCATTAAGCAACGTTTCTTCTATTCTAGCACTTTCTGTGTGTGCACCAGTTCGGATACATTAACTATAACCACATTAAACAAATAGAACCACGGCCAGCCGCGGACAGGACAACAAATAAAATAATTGAACGAGGAAAACAGACGCGAAGGTGAACTGAAATATAGATCACAATCGTGGCAGGAAAATGCCTTTTTCCAACCTTCATACAGTTTAATTGATTACCTCCAAACAAGTAATATTTTTATCCATAAATCATGCATGAAACAATAATATCAAATTAGAAAATTCGAAATAATTGTGGAGCTCATGCATTAAAATTAAATTTCAAACCGAATTAAAGCGTACCATTATCTAACGCAATAATTTATGACCTCGATAGTCGGAGCTGTGAGAAAATATTACATTTTCATTATCATTATGCATGCCAGCAACATTTGCGCGTTCGGCGGCGATTGACAGGCCGTTGATAAAAAAAAAAACGTGTTGCGTTCGGACGCCGCACGTGAAGTCGTTAACTCGCCGCTGTTGCTCACCGTTTATTTTAGCGCTTTTGTACTTTTCAGTGTCCACTTCGACGGCGATTCAAATATTTGCAACACTTATCGTTTATTACGTTTATTACGTAAGGTATGCGTGCGTGTGCGTGCTGTTTGTTATTTACTTTGCGCTAATTCCGAGCCGGTTTAACAGTCAACTGTAAAGTCGCGTTTTTTTTTCTTCAAACTTCAGGCGCTGTTTCATAGCAATAAAAACTTTTCAATACATGTTTGGGTTTCAATCGGCGTCTGAATGAAGTCATGCAGTTGTTATTTACGATGCAGGAAATCGTCTATATTAACCTATTGTTGGACAATCGACCGAAAATAAATGTTTAACCGGCTGGCTTAGAATATAAATCAGTAGAAATTAAACATGAAAGGCGCGCGCGGTGGTATTGTGGGCAAGCGCGGCGCGGCGCGTTTGCATTTTTGAAATATCCCAATATATTTGAAATTGATCCCAATGACCTAACGGTTCGATGGCCTAGACGCCTCGTGCACTCACCTTCCTCGTGCGGATTTTCTTCGCGATCGACGTCGCCGACTCCAGCAGGACCAGATTCTTGATCGGCGGCATCGCAGCGCCCTTCGAGCGGTAAATCCATTTGAAGAGGAATCGTGTACCCATTTCGATCAAACCGAACAGGAACCAGACGACTTTCCCAAGCACACGCAGTGGTAGTTTACTATTCATCATGAGAATGACTTCACTTTATTATTAATCAATAACAATAATCAGAATAATAATAAAAACCACAATGATTAAAACCAAAATAAATCGAAAAAAAAGTTCGTTTGGTTTTGAAATTCGGCAATTCAACCGGGGACGCGATCACCAAGTTGAGGTTACTGAATTGTCCTAGTATTATCCTGCCGGCATCAGGATAATAACTACGTGTGACAGCGATAGAGGGCTCTGAGTGTACTCAAACACTGAGATGTACAAGGGTTGAACTCGCGTGTGAAATTGTTTCGAATTTGTGCGCCTGATGAAGAAGCCTGGATGACATTGACACTACTTGAACACCGGTTGGAATTTCTGGCTGGCTGGTTTCGAAAGCGCGGGCGAGGCGCGACGCACGACAGCCGCGATGAGACTGAACGCAGTGAATCAAGTTTACTCGTTACTCGCGGTTGAGGTGTTCGACGGGCGACTAGGCGCGCGAGTGAAATGAATGAACGAATCAACATAACAGTAGAGATCCAAGCTGGTGTTAGTGAAATAAGTGAGCGAGTGCGTGTATGACTTGTTTTGCATTACATTCACGACTCATAAATACTTGAATGCGTGTTTGTTATTATTTGGACGATTCTACTGCGGAATTACTGATTCAAAACGTTTGTTTTTCGATTGGTAAACAATGCAAAACGCGCAAAATTTTGAATGTTTCACGGCAGAATTCAGATAATATGCGCATATATCGCTTTGAAATTGTGTTTGGTTGACGCGTGCGCCTCGCGATACCACTCAACGACGACGATTCAAATAATGAGGTCATTATGTTTGCAGCGCTACAATCCAACCATGCGGCTTTTTCGTGATGGGACCCAGCCGTCAGCACATGCGCGCGGCCTTCGAAAACATCTGAGTCCACACAACACATTCAATATGTTCTACCTATGAGAGAGTGAGTATTCGTATTCGTTGCTGCGTACGTACGTGCTGCGTCTGTTACCCATAGTTACGCACACGCATTCCAACGTACAACGTACAACTGTGACGCTGTTCCAGAGACTGTGCAGTCGCAGTGTGCGCAACGCGATACACACGCAAGAGTAGACGAGTCCCGCCGCCTCCAGCTGATCCCGCGCCGCAATTAAACATGGCGGTGTAGGTTATGTGTCCGCGTACGCGCTCGCGTCCGCGTCGTCCGAGAATAACCATTAAGCAATAAATGTGCCTAGCTCCAGCGGGGTGCTGATCGACGTCTGATCATGTCCGAGCCGAACAGTGTGGGGAAGAACAAGGTGAAGCTCAGCGTTGGAAAACTGCTCAATGTCGGCGGCGGCGGCGGTGGCAGCAGTAATAATCCCGGCGGTGACGTCGGCCGGCTGCTGCCGCCGTCGATTGTTACACCCGTGCTGCGCGACGTGGGGAAGCTCGCCGCCAGCGTGGCGGCAGTCAATACCAATGGGAAGGGAGGCAGCGGGTCAGCAACAGGTAATGTTATGTAATCAAAGCTCACCTCGCGCTGTTTGTTTTGATCAAAAACGATCAAAATTGTGTCCAACCGTCAAATGCTGATGACCGCTACTCACGCTATCCGATAATCTTCAATCGTCGAAATCGGCTGTTAACAATTGCTGTCCCACACTTGCTGAAACTACACTACGCATCGAGATAAAACGTTGATCTAATTTGACAACTCAAATCTCCTTCGGTATCATTCAAAATCGATAAATCTTGTTGTCGTGTGTATTTTTAAACGCATTTGTATTTGCTGTTCAGCTGAGCGCTATCGCGCTACGAGTAGTAGTCTACCGATTTCTACTTGAGACTTGACGTTCGTCTACTAGTCGACTAAAGAGGGCGACCGGAATGCGGATTTTTGGGCATTATTCAAGCGCTGGGCTGCAGCCACCAGCTCAGTGTTTGATTACAGAGGAAAGTACGCTTTCCCAGCGCGCGGAATAATCAGGCTATGCGGTGAAATATTTGCATAAGTTTGACAAGTTTCGTAATGTCTTGTTGCTCGTGCAGCGCCTTCAGCGACCAAACTTTACCAACATTCAACAACTCGTAACGATAACTGGGTTAGTTTTGTTTGCAATAAATTATAGTAGTTGTGGTGTGAGCTAAATTTAACACAGCGAGTAGATTGATACGTGTATTATTATTGCCTGCTCAAAATATGATATTTTATCGACAGCTAAAAATAACGTGATGAAAAGTGAAAGAAAAAAAAAAAAGAAGAAAAAAATTGTATTAAAAGTAATGAAATGCTTTAATTGAATTCCTGCCTCCGCATCGATTGATGATTAATAGAATTGTTTAAACATCAATTTGTTTAGAATTCCTCTTTTGTGTGCCACCTCGTTATGGCTTTCGTGCCGTAATCGAATTGCACTCTGACGCTGCAACCAGCGTCCATCAAGAGGCAATTAGCCTTTTTGTGCGTCGCCGGTGCCGCCGCCGCCGCCATCGCTCAACGTGCACTTTGTGTCGCGCGTGTATATCGCTGCTCGCTGCTCGCCACGTAATTTAATTGTCTCGGGTGCCCAGGCGCGCGGGCGATAAAAAACGCGCGCGCGCGCCATTGTCTCATTTTGTCGGCGGCGGCGGCGGCGGCGGCGCGTTCTCTTTGAGCACGCGTTAGTTAGCGCCATTATGTGCGAACGCGTATGGGACACGTTGCGCTAACAACGTTACGCGCCCGGCGAATGAAAGCGCCAGTATTGCGTAACATAATTAATGCTTAATTATACACAAAAGGGTCGCGGATCCGCGACTATGTCCACATAGTGCCCCGAAAGCTTTGCTTTACGTTAGTCATACTCCGAATGCGCCATGAAACTGAGGAAATTTGATCGGTATCTGGCATCCGTTGGTCTCTTAATCGAATTCGACCCTTTGCACAGCTCCTAAGTTAATTTAATTTAGACCTTCACTACTTAATATTAATTCAAATCAAATTTCCAGCGTTGCGCATGCGTGCATTTGAATAATACATTGGTGGGAGTAGTAATAACGTATTGCGCATGCGCGCATTTGAAATTAACATGCGTACATTGGTTCTCACATCGATTGCCTGTATAAACATGCAAAAATCATTTCATCATGAATATGTGTACGCAATGAAAGCAGAAAGAAAAATACGCGCATTGAAAAGCTTGATTATACTGTGCACGAAATGTGAGCATCCATGCGAAAACCATCAGATATGAAATTGTACCAATGCTTATTGATTTTGCTGCCAGCACGCATTTCCATAGCGTTTCATAATATTTATGGAAAAATTAATACCCCGCTTGTATTTACTTTCTCAAGAATTGAGTATTCATCATGAATACATTTATATGGCATCTGATATTGATAGGGATTTTTTTATTTCATTACTGTTGTCGTACATTGGTAAACATGAAATTATCGCAGGTTTTTTCTCTTGTTGATATTTGATTGAAATTCGTCTTTAATAATGAATTGGCTTGGAGAAATACTAGTTTCAGTAACAAGTTTTCTGATAGTTATGTGCTCGGCACACGATGATTATTCGATGAGCTCGTGTGGCTGGAGGCCTTCGGCTGTTTCACCTTCCGTCAATATTTGCTCTCCTCTACTCGGTGATATTTGTCATAATATCGTGGCGGCCGCATGTAAATTTGCGCACATCGTCGTTTAATGCAATCAAGTTAATGGCTGACCGCGTGTGGGTTGCGTTGTTGCCGGGCCGGGCATTGTGTGTGCTCGGCGTCGTTTTTTGTTCTTCTAGTTTCCTATAATTTTAGTGGCGCATATCGAGTTTCCATGTGAGGCAATTTTATTGCCAATTATCTCCTGTGTAAACATATAAATTAAGCGATATTTTTATTTACGTCATAGTGGGTAAACAGTAGAGATGGTCGGCTAGCTGAATAGTTGCTTTTGACTAGGTGTGAGTGGCACTACCGTTAATATTTATTACTGGATTTAATATTTATATCGATTCGGGGTAAATTTCAAATTTTGCGGAAATAAGGACGAGTGGATTCGTAAAATAAAAATCAAATGTTAAATTTCAATCGAATTTTTCATTTTCATCCTTAGATTTCGTATTTTCCGGGTTTAGTTTCATAATTTGCGCTGTTATCTTAATAGGTTTTATTTTTGGTATTTTGATGAATTAGTTTGGTATTTGTGACAGGATTAATCATCGCAATATTGACATTATCAATTACTTTATTTGGTTGGTACAGCGCTCGTAAATAGTATTAGCTAATGAAAAATTTTGTTGCAAAAAGTTGCAGAATCGTCGTCGTTTGGTTAGTAGCCAAATAAAAACTGAAAATTATGCAATTTTCATGCGATAAACTTGGTTCAGCACTACTGGCAAGTGCTCCAGCCCTGTGCCATGTGCTGTAATAAATGGAATTCGTAATAAGTCTCGGCACGTCTTCGCCGTCGTCCTGCAAACTTTCGTCTGTGCGCCGATTCCAATTGGACTCGGGGTCGCTTCTCGCTGGCGCCTCGATGAATTCGATCGCAAACGCACGCCACAGCGCCAGCTTAAGCGTCTTCCGGGACGCTTTTAATGCGCGCTTTTATAGAAATCCTCCTCTGATAACATCTCCGACCCTCCACTTTATTACATCCGCGCGCGGGAGGACTTTCTTTTTGATTATTTTCGCGTCGAGCATCCTTCATCGAACACGTCGGTCGGTTTGGCATTTACTTCGCCCTCGTCGCCGGCGTAAAATATTTGCGTCGTCGATGCGACGCTGACGCTGCCTCGGGACCCGGCCCGCCCGTCGCTCGAAAAATGAATAAATAAAAGGCTTTGCCATTTTTCGGCGCGTCGCCCACACTGAAACAAAGTGAAACTTTCTTTTCGGGCTCAACATCCTCGCCGAAATATGAAAGCAAACTCGACCCACGCCAAGATAAAGCAAACCTTCAAAGAATGTTCACAGAGCGCTGGAAACTGGAAACTTGTGTTTTTATTGCGCGCACATCTACGATTTTAGTTCGGAAAGTTTGTGCTCGCCACTGTTATTTTAAGCCACTTACGGAATTTATAGCGTTTATCTTTGTGGTTTTTCTTCGCGCCGACTTCCGCCTGAAAATTGCGATCGTTGCTGACAAGCAGACAACCCACTTAACATTTCATTTGTACATTTAGTCTGGAATGTCTTGAATCATGATTACAAGAATAAGCTTTCAGGATCTTTCACTTGATTTCTTGATTTTCCACGAATACAATGTATCATTATCACTGGTTGTCCTGCTTGTATAGTTTTCCTTAGTACGCTGGAGTTTAGCAATGCTGCGCAAACTTCGGAACTTTCGCTCGTGACACAGCGCAGCCGGAAAATTTAATTAGGGCACGTGCAAATTACAAAGCATCGTGTTGCATCCATTACTGGCACGAATATAGTTGGCTAAACCAGAACTGAATGCAAAAGTATTTTTTATCTGCGTAGATTTTCCTCTTTTTTTGTGTTGGTGAATATTCACTTTTCTATTTTATAGTTTTAATTACGTTTTACGTGTTTAATATCATTTTTACGAGTTTCAAATTTTTATATTTTCACGTAAATAGAAAATAGCGAATAGCGCGGCTTATATTATGACAGGGAATAAAATCATTGGCTGAGATACGTGGAAATAGGAAAATGGAAAATATGTAGTGCGACGGTATTGACAATTTCGCATCCTGTTTTCATGATTTGAAAAGGTGAATTTCGTGTATGGGGCGACGTCGTCTGAATTGTGTGAAATTGGAATTCAGAGTGATTTTTATAATGATTTCTTTGCAACTGGGACGCGACTCTGACACAAATATACAAAATTGTTGAAATTCTTGAGAAATGCCTTCGGACGCGTTTCTGTCTTTCGCTGCGCGAAATCAAAGCATTGAGGAATTTAAGTTATTAGCCTGAAATTAAAATTCCATCATCTGTAATTGAACATTCATCCTCGCTGCAGTTTTGTTTCAGTATGAAGAAGAAAAAACCCCTCAACGAGACACTAAAACGCATCTCCTCCCAGCTTGCTTCATTGTCGATCTCTCATTAAAGCAAAGTTTAATTGGGTCAATTTGATGCTTTTTGCGCGCTCGACTTTCGGTTGCGTTTCGTCGCGATTTTTTGCCCGTTTTTTCAGCTCGCTCGGTGTTCATCTTCGTTTTTTTTTGTCCCAATCAATCAAGATAATCCCCTAGATCCTTTTTTGCGCGCGTTTGCTATTTGCATTTTACAATTGAGTATCGAAGCAATTTGCGCGTGCGGTGAAATCTGCAAGTCAAAAATACAGCAGCGCGTGGGTCTTCATCCGAGGTCTGCACATCCTCGGGCGTGAGATTTTTCCAATGCGGCTAACATAACGGTTAGGTTGTGTCCAATCCAATCTTTTCGCAGTTAGCACTTTTTACAGCGCCGTATTACATTTATGGCGGCATGAATAGAATTTGCAGAAAAATGCAATTTCACTTTAACGGCGTCGGCGGTGTTTTTCAGCACGAGATGCGCGGTGATTAAGTGAAACTGAAGGTATCGACACACACGAGTCAGGTCTGTCGTTACCACCATGCCGTCGACATCGCACTTTTTACGGCGGTGCTCGCTTAACAATGTTATTTCTTGTCTCGGCTGCCTGCAGGAGTTTCCGACGTTTAATTCGCTTCGGGTTGGGATGCTCCAGCGCAGCTCGCAGAGAGTGGTTCGATTTTGTATTTTCACGTTCTGTGAAAAACTTCAACTTTTTTACAGATTCAGCGAGGTTTTCCGTTTTTACAGCTTCGCTACTCGTTTTATATCTTAAAACGCTTGCCGATCGCTGGAGCCGTAATCCCGGTATACGTTTCAGCGATTTTGAATCCCGCAAGAATAAGGCAACACCACACAAAAATGGAAGCAGGAAATTTCCTGTTGTTAAAGCGACGAAAAAAAAAATCCAGCTTGAGCTTTTGTTGGTTTTAGCTGCTGGTTTTTTTCGACTTCGACTCTATTTAGGATCGGAGCGAAGCGAAATTAAAAACCTTCTGTTATTCCACCGTTTACGGCATTGTGTGTTTTTTTTATTTGTTATATAGACTTGCAAACAAATTGAAAGCAATGGCTTTATTTGCGACCTGCTTCATCTTCATAACTCGCCAGCCTCCTAACCTTATGACAGGCCAAGAAATACGAATATCATCTTGGCGCTGCTTCCATTAAATATTTGTCTTTGCACATATGTTCGAGACTCCAGAATATTCTCGCTCTTATATTTAATTTCCCGCCCGGTTTCCGGCGCGCCTGATTTCTCTGTTGACTTTTCTCCCGCTGCAAGGGAAAAATTCCGCGCGCTTCAGCTGCCAAATCATGCCGGCATAAATAACGGCCGGATTGTGCGTCCTTCGCCCGCTCGTCAGGTTAATTGTAATCGATTTTAATCAATTACATCTTTCGCACGTACGAACGAGCGTTTGATTAATTGCGCGAGCGACGAGAGGCGTGCGACGCTATTTCGATAATAATGTGTGTTCATGGCGTCGATGGTGGAGGCGCCTGTCGAGTGCCGCGATCGATTGCGGGCCGAAAATGTGCGCTGGACCCGCTGTCTTTGAATTTAGCAATTCATTCAGCATGCAAAACAGACTTTTATATTGCTGCGACAGGCTTCTCTCTTTTGCAGTTTTTTTTAGAGATTCTGTGCCAGTCGTACAGAAGTTTCTTTTAATTTCCATGACAATATTTAGCTAACTACAGGCGAAGGAGAAAAAAAATTAAAGGAGAAAAGTTTAACATAAAAAATTTGTATTTTTGTGAAATTTGCGAGTATTCCGGACAATTTTTGATTTTTAATTCTTCTAATTTTTAACTCAAATTCTAAAATCCAAATCTATTTCGGATTCAATCGGTGGGTGTGTACTGAGATCACCAGCGTCATACAATAGGGACGTCAATTCCCCATTCAGAGGTGGCGGGTTATCCGGGCCGGTGTTATCAATGAATTCCTGTAGTAAGTCAATGAGACTATCCGTAATATTTTCCGCTTTACAATAATTCATGATTTCATGCGCGTATATGGAACACTGACAATCCTCCTTGGCGGCTTCGATCTGTTTCAGCAACTCCGCATCACTAAACCGCTTCTCCTTAACGTTTAGATAAAGTGTTGTCAATGAGAGCGCACAGGCGGCCTTGCGCTTTTGCTCCTCTCTATCCAGTCGTACAAATTGCGACGGTGTAAGTGCCAGCAGTTGATCAACGTATTTCTCGCGCTCCGGGCTACCTTTCAATAGCTTCAGTCTACCATTGATGACGTCGACGAACTTGTTGCGTTCTTCAGTTGTCCAGCTCAGTTTGGACAGAGTGCGAGGACGCAGTTTTCGTCGCTCTTGGTATTCTTGATACCCAATGCTAAAATTTGAATTGGTTTCGAACTTGCCTGAAAATATAGCAAGATTCAACGGACGTCTACTTTGAAGAAGGTTGAATTTTGTTCTTACCTTCATGCTTTGATGTCTTGTATTGGACTGAGTTGGGGCACGCATAATTTCGAACAGCTTTTCGATACTGGCCAGCATCTACCATCAAAAAGAGCAAGAGTATGATAATCAGCAATCCCAAGCTGATCTCCATCAATTGCCACTTCGAAGTGAAATTGAGTTCGTAATTATCTGTCAGGTATTTTTTAGCTAAAAGCATGTGCGCTTCCAACGTGTTCATCTTGTTGCGGGGGTGGCGCAATTCTGCGTAAAAAAATATTTTTTGGAATATGCGACCTAATTTAAACAAAAATAATTTGTAATTATTCTACGGTCTTTAAAATTGACATTTGTCGTGAAATAAATATATATTTTTGTATTAAATGACAGGCTGTTACTTCAATTTTAATAAACCGTAGCCTCAGTAATTATTTTCTTGTTTCTTGGACATATTATGAGCTAAATTCGTCAAAAAAGTTTTGAATTTTAATTTAAATAAATGAGAAATGCTAATAATGAACTTTCACACCATTTGGATTTTTATTTTGCGACAAAAATTAGTTTATTAGCTTTTCCTTAGTCAATAATGTTTCTGTATCAAGATTTATCGAAATTAATTCAGTGGTTTTTGCGTGAAAGTGTCACAAACAAACTTGCAGTCACATTTATTGGTATTATTAAAGTTTTGCTATTTTTTTTATGATATCTACGTTTTGCCGATTATTATCAAGAAAAGAAAACTCATTTTTATATTAACTTGGCACATGAATCGAAGATCTTCGTGAAGAAACAAAAATAGTGCTCACATTTACGATCGTGTTCCGCACTATTCAATTAACGCTCCGATGTTGTAACGCGGCACACAATCAACAGGACGTGAGACAAGGCGCACGGCCGCAAAACGCGTCCAGGATAATGAACGTCGGGGGTAATCGTATTAGAATTGATATACGAGGCGAGCGCACTTACGCGTCGAGGGCGCACGATGCCGTCGCCTAATCTTACTCGTGATTAAACGCGATTAATGTTTAATGTGATTTAAATTGGTTTGCGTCCGGACTGGGTGCGCGATCCGATTGCACGAAATATGCCCGCGGATTGAGACACAACTGCTCGCCGAAATATCTGCGGGCGTTAAAAATTTACGCCCGCAGAGGGTGGTGGAGGCGCTTCCGCCGCAAGTTACGAATCATTAAGTTTGCTGAATTGCGGCCGGAATGATTAATTCGGCGCTTCTGTAATTTGCTGTAAATGACTTCGCAGTTTACAAATTCACTGTATCCTGCCTCATCCCGAACAACCCAATAATTTTTTATGTTGAGCACTGATGATAAATGATATTTTCCAACGATGATATTAAAATCAACAAGAAATTAATTTATTCACACGCCGAAGATTGCAAGAAAATCAAGAGGATCGCAAGAAAGAAGAACGAACGGCGAAGAGACATGGAATTAATTAATTTTAAATTTCGATTGCACTTTATGAATACCTAATGCCCACTAGTCGCCGGGAATTTGTAATTTAAATTTGATTTGCAGTCGGCGCTGAAATTCTTTTCAAGTTTAATCTTTTAGAGTGTCTGAGGTGCGCTTTATTTATGATCATGCATGAAAATTGAACCATTAAATTTATTTGTTGTGCGATGACATAACAGGCGTGCAATTAAGCGAATGAAAATTGCCTGATGACGATAAATACAAGCAGCAACAACAACAACAACGCTCAATACAACGCTGGAATATTAATTAATAAATTAATAACTAATAATGGCTCTGGTTCCACGTAAAACAACCGCTAATTGGAAACGGATGAATGCATGATTTTAAGCCAACGTATTTGCACGAAATTCAATTATTTATTATTGCTCAGTATTTCCTGCTTTATTTAAACTATTTTTATACCGATGGAGCATTTTTCCCTGAATATAATAGGAAGCACTTTCATGGGAAGTGAATTTTGAAGTATTATTTCGATTTATTTCGCAAGTGAGGCCTTTTACTTTAATAACAAAACAAAATTGATTTATAGAAAAATATTTTTAGAAACGTTTAAATTGTCATGATGTCAAATTAAATAATGCATGCAATCAACAATTATTGAAACTTTTGAATAGTAATATATCATGCATGATTGATAATATTGTAATGAATGTTATTAATTATTTTCCACTCTTTTTCCAAGGATTTGGATATTTTAAGCCGATTTTTTTAAATTCCGAATTTGCTACGCCACTGTATCGAATGTACTATTCCATGCCCCGATTGTGATCTGTATTTCATTTTACCTTCGTTTATGTTTTTCTAGGCCAATTATTTTTTTGTTGTTCACAAACATGAAGTGTCGCTTAACGATGAGAAAACACCCAATATTGACACACGAATTAACATTGGAACACAATTACCTCTACAGTTAATCACATAAAAGAAAAAATTTCCTTTATTGATGGAAGAAATGTGTAAATCACATAAGATCAAATTTTTATTTTATTTTATTTACTTTCCCCAATCGTGACGCATTCCAACATTCTCGGCGTACATCTTTGAGTAGTTGCCGACACACGTATGCGTGGGCATCGTCAAAAAAAATGTTTGCTTCCTTAATGGTACCGACAGCTCGCAGGCGGGTAAAGAAAACGCGCGAAGAAACGCGAGAAGACGCGCTTTGTAGTTGGCACGTGGGGGTGTGCTCACATGCACGTCATTGTCTTACGTGTGAGTGTGACGGCGGCGCGTCCTTCGCAACTCGCGTTTCAGCTGCACCGGCAACTCGCGTCGCGACGCCGGCGGCGCGCCCGCCTCACGCAGTCAGTCATCTGGCGCGCTCCGAAACTGGAGCATCGCTGGCGTCCGTCCGCGTCGGCATTTTCGTCGCGAAAAAAAAAAGAAATAAAAACAACGCGCCGCATCGTTAATAAATATGTTGCAAACTTCGACGTGCGGATAAAGACGCGACGCGTCGACAGAAAAAAATGCTGATACTTCACCGGATGTGAGAGTTACTTTGGTTGACTTAAGTTGGGTGATATGAGTGGATAACTTCGGCGGGCGTCCGGAAAACTTTAAATGTGTTTTGAAAGATGCCGTGCTTTTGCTGCTGGAAGAAGAAAGCGACGGTCAAACCGGAAAACGAGACCGCCGAGGACCCAGCGCCGGACGCGGATGATCCTCAGGACGAAACCGAAATATCAGGTTACCAATAATAGTAATAACTCCAACTGCGCACACACAACGTGAAAAACGTTTGTGAAAAATGATTTGAATGCAATTGCATTACCGGATTATACGCGCACACTGGAAATATTTTGTTATGTTGTAAAGTCCATGCGGCGATGCGAGAGAATCCACGACGGAAATTGAAATGCGATGTGAATTGCATCGCCAACTTTAGCTGGCACACGAAGTTCGCCTGCATTTGCCGTTGTGCCTTCATTAGATTCCGGCCCGGATGTGGCGTCAGAGCTTTGCTTTCGGCGCCGTGCGTACTCACGTACGCTGTGTGAGCGGGGCATTAAATTTTATTGACAATCGTGTAACACCGTCACGCGCGTCGAGTGCATTCGTTTGGTCGTTAAATATAATTCTGATTAATAAGTCCAACGTTGAGAACCTGCAAGGTGGAAATCTTACGAAATCTTATTCGTGTCACTGAACATGCAAACAAACTGTACACCTGCGAGTGCTGGGACAATGCATTTGTTACATTTACACATGGCTGATATACTTTCCCACGAGTTTTGTTTCGCGCTTTGTGCGCGGTGTAATCAGACAGTCGAGTTTGTAATATGTCACAAACCACAGTAGTATTCTATAGTTCATGTTTTCAGTGGATACTGTTTGTTGAACTTTCACATTTTCCACAAAAAAAATGGCTTTATCAACTGGCATGGCTTTTATTCATGCAAATTCCCATTTGGGAATAAGTGAAATCACCCCGAGTCATATTAAAATCATTGCCGCGATAGCGATCTGATTGTAAAATAAACAATTTATTCAGTTCCTAGTTGAATGCATTCATTTCCTCGCCGATATAGATTGGACATAATAATACGCTATAGTAAATTAATATTCTTTCGGTCCTTTGAGCACGCTCGCACACGAATTTCGCACGCGTGTCTGCCTCGCATAGCATCATCGCGTTGACGTATCGAAACTTCATTAACGTGCTATTAATATTAATGTAAACGTGCGAATCCTATTAAATTGTTAGCGAAATTTCCTCAATTTGCTGTTTATACTTGCGAGATAGGGGCTTATCCCCGGACGCAATGTATGATGCGTGTTAAGCAAGGCAAAAAAAACTTCATGTACTTGTAGATCGTTAAAAAGGGAATTTCGAAGTGACGATGATTACGTTATGGCCGCCTCGCATAATTTCATGCTTCAAGACGTACTTCATCTCGGAAGGTGCGAAGCGTATATGAAATTAATTTAATGTTTATGTTTATGGATTATCTTCCGCCATACTATAATCTAATAATTATTACACACGTGTAATGTAAAGTGTCACATTTTCAGTGATGTGATGGCTTTTAGTAATTGTAACCGAAATATATTATTATACTTGTTAATTATATATTTGCAAGTTTATTTAAAGTATTCAACATGTTGATTTTTCGTTAAAAACGACACGGTGACTTGTTTAATGTGGTCTTTCAATTTGCGTATTCATTAAAATCGCGGCGTGGCACATTTTCATTACACAGTCCGCGATTTCATTACGCAAGTGAAAAAGAAAACAGCCAACACACCCGCGCCTGTCTAGCAGGAGAAAAAAATGCCAGTGAACGAAAATGTAAGCGAAATTAATTATCGGCAACAAGGGTAACGGTCGGCGGGTCCTCGAAAGGATGTGCGTACGTAAACGCAGGACCATCCTTTGAGCTAAACGCGTTATCGCATGCTTGTATACCAGGTGTGCCTGGAAAAAAAACGGTCACGCAATGTGAGTGCCTTCACTCAACTGTTGGATTAGCAATCGTTGTTTGCGTATCAAACGCACATTTGCAACCTGCCTGGATACACTTTACAATTGATTGTATGCGCCTCAGTTGTCCGCGAGTGGATTACGCGAACCATTCGGTATTCGAAGTTCTTGGTCCGTTACATGCCGTACAGGAATAGAACGCGGAAAGCTGGGAAAGTAGAAAGGTGGAAAGGACGCGGGCACGTTGAAAGGGATGACAGCCGACACACACACACTCGCAATAGACCTAGACCTCCGCATATAGTACCAACATTATTTTATACAACGTTGAAAAACGGCATTTACACATTACACTCGCAAGTTGGGAGCTGCGCTTTCGTGGTCCTTAATACACTAGGCCAAATATCGATTGTAGAACGCGTGCGGCATTCCATAATTTACTAAACTAAACCAAAAAAAAAAAAACTGTGGTCTACTATAAAAGATTACAAAATGGAGTAATGAGAACGCACTTGAGTGGCTGGGATTGTTGAGCTGAGAGGATAAACCGCGCACGTCAATCGCAGCATGCGTTGGAGAGTCGGCCAATTCGCAAATGGAAATAGTCTATCAGCGCACGGTGCACTTTGTTAATTGGCTTATCCTGTTAGTTTGCAATTTCAGCCGGAGTCCTCCTCTGGCGGCCAGGTGACGCTAATTGTCTGGTAGATTGCATTCATGCACACATCGCCGGACATGAATATGTCACAACTTCGGCAATAATGCACGTCCGGGCGTCATGAGTCATGCGATCTTGTTGACGTTGCTCATGTGATCCAAGATTGCGTTGATTTACGGCGCGCAAATATTTAACGCTTTGGAGAGTAATGAATGCCTCTCTTGCCGACAGGAAATCCACGGAACAAATGCAGCCTGGCGCCGGGGCACTCGTTAATGGACTGGATCCGGCTGGGCAATTCCGGAAAGGATCTCACCGGCGTCGGTGCGCTCGCCGGGAAAATTACCGTAAGTACACTTTATTCTGCGGCTCGTAAACGTCGCCGTAGGGAACTTGTTCTCGGCTTTCCGATGGGTTAATAGTTGTTAAAACCGAACGCATGTAAATCCTTCATTCGCTAACGTTATCGTCTAGCACGTCAGGATCGTTGAAAACTTTCCGAGTATTTGATCCGTCATGTAAATTGTCTACGTTTAATATGTCATAATTTTCGGCAATTGTTCGCTGTAAAGCATCAAAATTTTTCGTGTAAATTCTCTCATTCCATATTCATGTAGTATACTTTGGTGAATTTGATATGAAGACGGAAAGAAAAATGACTTCACTTACTAATGATGATCACGATGACAACGATAACTATCGCACTAAAGTACACGTGCCTCCCTAGTGGTTCTCTTATTTACAAAGTCTTATATTGCAGGTGTCCCCTGATGAAATGATACAGCACAACAAGCGCGAGGATGCGTGGATAGCAATCAGAGGAAACGTCTACAACGTCACAGAATACCTCGCCTTTCACCCAGGGGGAGTCGAAGAACTCATGCGTGGTGTTGGACTTCCGGACGCTACAGCACTCTTCGACGAAGTGAGTTTTTCTCTAAAACTTCATTTAAACACAATAACAATTTATGTTTGTTTTCCTTCAGGTGCATCCCTGGGTGAATTATGACAAAATGCTGACAAAGTGTTACGTGGGACGCTTGGGCGCCGGCTCTGTATCGAGCATTACAGAGACAGGCAACGTGCGTTTCGAGTCACCGAAACTCTCCGACACGCCGGAACCGCCTAAGATACCGATAATTCCTGTGATGCGAACTTATAACATAGCCGTCAACGATGACCGACAGGTGCGCTTCGACTGGATTCAGAAACACGACATTCTAGTCCTATATTTCTACACGGGTGCTTATTCAAATCCATACTTCGACATTCGCCGGCCTTTCGAGAACAAGTGGACGTTTGTGATCACCTTTGTGGAGTCGGTGTTCACGTTCAAGTACTCTCCGCAGGAGAACCTCAGATGGCCACCGCGGTTCAAGGTCTTCTACGAGACCGGGAAGATTGAGGTGGGCTTCGAAAAAGAAGTGAAAAAGACATGGCCTACGTGCGGGACGCTGGAACAGAGCAAACGTAAAATCATTCCGCAGGAATGGAAAAGAAAGTATATTATCAAAGAGCACGTCATGATCAATAAGAGCACATTCATGATGTCGCTTCAGAAAACCGACATGAGCTTATGCAACACACCATTAGGATATCATATTATGTTATATAACGGTAAGACGATTATTCCTGCATTTTGACGTTATTTAATTCAATCGCGCGGCTTTCAGATGTAAACGATGCCAGGGAATACACACCAGTGCCACATTTATTCATAAAGCCAGACAACCAAGATCCGAGGGAAGCCTTCAACTCACCCTTCGTCACTTTACTCATTCGACGGTATTCCGACGGTCGTTTGAGCAACTTTCTCTACAACAAACAAGTGGGTGACACTGTTCTCGGCTCGGAGCCGATGGGAACATTCGATCTACAATTGATTTCGGACAAGCAACATTTCCTCTTCATTTCTGGTGGCGTAGGCATCACTCCATTCCTTAGTATAATTCAATTCCTGCTCGAGAAAAAGCTTAAACCTGTGTAAGTACATTACAAACACAAAATGCGTTTCGATGCAGGAATACAGATTTTGCTTGTTTTCAGCCAACTAATCATGCTAGTCAACTTCAATCAAACGTCGCAGTATCAGTTCCTACATAAGAAGTTCGAAATTCTCACCGAGGATCCCCGATTCACCTTCGTTCCTGTTCTAACCCAGCCTGGTCCATCAGATTATTCCAATATTAGCGGTTACATGTCCGAGGAACTGATGCGGACTTTCCTACAGAAAGGTTTCCCCGGTGTGCACGTGCAAGACATTTTCTTTCTGTGTTGTGGTCCGTCATCGCTCAACAACGGCTGCTTTGAGCAGTTGATGCATCTTGGGGTAGACATCGATAACACCTACTTCTTTTCGGCGACGTCTGTGCAGCAGAATGAAACTGCGGGGATTAGTGTCAGCGACATAAGCGTCAAACAGTAACGTACATATTATTACTATCGGCCAACTCTTAAATTTGGGAACGACCACCACCAGCTCAACACCAACCACTATCGTTATACGCACCTTAGCGCGCAAATCATATTCAATGTTATATAATTTTTTAGCGGTCTAGATATGGATGAGATTGTGGAGTGGATGGAGAAGTTGGATCATTACCAAGACTTTCCGAATTTTCTCAAGGGTGTTGACGACCGACGGTCCTCAGCGGCGCCGCCGACGATCCCGCTACGGCATTCCCAAGGTGCTACCAATGTGTCGTTCTGTATCTTTTGCCTTTGCATTCCCATTCCGCGCTCCTACGTCGTGCACCTGAAGCGCGCCTTCACCGACTTTTTCTGTCCGTGGAGACGGAATGCAGTGTGAGGTTGAAACGCAATGATGAAAATGGGTCCAGCAATAATTAACCAGAAAACATACGTCCAGCTGCGCAAGATGCGATGGCGCATCCATAGCGATATTCACTAATTGAACAAATTCAAACAAACCAAAACAAAAAAAAACTGACGGCTTCTGCTCGTTTTGCACGCTGGCTATCGCGTTCGTGAATTGTTTTCTACCAAAGAATGTAACACCGCACTGTTTCTAGTAGAGTGTGTACATTGCTAGCCTAAGGAGACTAAAACAAATTTATTACTTATAAGAGATGAAATATTTTGTGCACGACGCTATTGATACGAGTACTTAAGTAAATAATGTGACATATCCTGCACCGTTCAAGTAGTTGCACCTCAGGGAATCGGAGAACCACCGTTTACGGACGATTCTATTAGTGAAATTAACTCTACTGCAGGCAAATTGTTATCGTTGCGTTCGTTCCAATGGTTGGACCATCGAGTTTATTTATTGTATATATTGACAATCTGGATTGTAAACAAGCAATAATTGTTTGTATTTGGTTTCTGATGTAACAACCATCGTATTAAAATTACCGTTTTCCATATTTCCGGAGCACATTTTCCCTTTGGTTGGTATTTTCCCTGCGCGTTTGAATGGTTGCCTATGTTGATTTAACGTTTTGGACTGTTTCCAGCATAACACTTCAACGATTTGACAGTCAAATAAAACAGTCTGCATGAAAACATTACTATTTCATATATCAAATAAAAGAAATCACTGCATGTTTTTTGCAATTAGTTGCCATTTGATATATTTGCATATGTCACCGTTTCATGCATGAATGTAAATCTATAATGGATGATTTCTGCATTGTTTTGACGCTCGTGAAAAGTTTATGCGATACAAAACCGACGTAAATAAATACGCTTGATAAATAGCCATGCAAAGTCGGCCTAAAAATACGAAGGGGACCGGTGAGTGCATTCAGTATATGAATAAAAATGTGTGCGTCGATGATGGAGCGAACGCGCCGATTAATTCACGCGCTTTTTATACATAGAAGTGGATGCGACGCACCGAAAACAAAATGTGCGATCTGCTCGAGTGTCCATTCATTATCCGCGCCCGCGCGCGCTCCGGCTTCCTGTTTACGCATTCTTTTCCAATTTCGTTGTTGGGCTCATTTTTTGTGTGCGATCGCTTGACTCGCTGAGGAAAACCTTCAGGGACGGATTTCGGAAATTTACGTTCCGGAGAAATTTGGGTAAAATGATAGAAATCTAGAATAGTTTCATAATTCCGTATTGATATGCATCTCAATCCGATTCTGTAAACATCTGCGCGAACAATTTCGAAATCGTGATGGATTTGTAATTGGATTAGGATTATATAAAATCTTTCGAGGGCCCGCCCACATTCGACGACTATTAATAATATTGACTTAACCGCGTGCGCAAACAACCAACAGATAAACATGCCGCGTCTCCATCTTCATTTGTCGATTGTTATCATAATTCGTTATCATGGCGTGCATCGCGCCCGTCTTCGGCTCGATAATCGACTGGATGTTGCCCGCTACATTCCTCGCGCATATAGCAACGCACATTTATCATCCTGATTGTGATTCATAGATGTGTCCTGTTTTTTTTTTCTGTTTGTGATATTCAGGTGATTCCATATATTTCGGCGCGCGTCCAAATTCAATGTGATAATGAAATGATAGTGTGTTCCGGAAACACCCTCGGCTCTCCAGCGACAGACGTACGACAAATAGATAGCTCGTTTCAATGAACCCTCACGAATCTACAAACGCACGACCCACGACACGATAACGGATTAATAAACATGATTCGGAGGAATGGGTTGCCGCATCGCGTTGGGGAGCTTTGTGCGTTACATCCCGATATTTCATCTGCGTGTTTTATGTGTTTCGGGAGCAGATCTGCGCGTTAAATGAGGCTTTGTGGTGTATCTGGTGGTAACTACATCTCCTCTATATATCTACACGTCTGTCGTTTATAATCGGGAATGTTTCAATTCGACGAGTTTTCATAAATATTGCATCTTCATTTGTCCGCATAAATTTCGAACGAGAGTTAGATAATCTCCACGGCTGGCGGAAAATTGTATTAATATTATAGTTTCCGTAGTTTCAGTAAGCCACTAAGCCAAACAAGTTTTTCCAACTAAAGTTGTACGTTAACGCGTCGGTAACTAAAACAGAAAATATGCAAAATAACGAACGTTTATTAGCATAGCACGCCGGGGAATTAGCCGGGAACTGAAAGTTCGAAACACGAGCACAACTTCACGTATGATAGATAGCATTCAGAAGCTAGAAAATTGACGCGGCGTGGAAATTGTAACGACATCAGTCGAAGATTGTGCCACTTAATCAACTCGAGGACGACACGTCGAGAGCGCAAGCACTCCGTTGAGTTCAAATATTCAAAGCCCTTCTTATCGCGCTTCTTATCGCCGCGCGGAGCGCATTCGTCTTCTGCATCGCTCGTCTTCATTGAAATGTTAAAATTCACGCTCGCATTTAATATTCCCGGGTGTGGAATGTGCTCGCGTGCCTCGGCTGAATGGCTGGCGTAGACGTAGATGTCAGACCGCCGATAAGTTAATGATTTTCATATAATATATGATGCGCACAGGGTGTAAACGTGCCTGTAAACTATGCAAAACTAAGAAACTTCGAGAAAATCAACGTATTCACGTATCTAAAACGAAATTATCTCGTTCTGTCGAAAATAATTTGTAGTTACATAGTGGACCTTCAAACTTTTTCAAGGCCTGAAGGCACTGGAAGTTTGTTAGTGGTTCAATTAATAGTGGGTGAAACAATCATCAAACGAACAATATCTGCACAATTAAAAATCTTTGCTTCTCTGATTTACAGAATACGGACAAAAAGTTATATCCATTTTTTGTAAACATTTTCTGATAGTGGTAACCATCTCCTTTGATTTGGAGCTCGTGTAATTCCCTGAAACTGCAATCAACTTGTAGATATTTCCCAGTATGGAAATTGTTGACCACCTCTCCGCCCACGCTGATAGACTGATAGACTCGAGGCAAATTTGCAAATTTGTATTTCACCTGAAGTTCGAAAGGCTGAAGGGCTAAAGGCTGCTTGAACCCTGTAGGTCGTTCGGCTCTTGTACTACACATGTACTGTCCGTTGGCTTTCAGGTGGTTAGTCCTCATGCGAGGGATAAATACGTTGTCGACCGAGCGCGCTCTTCGTGTTTACACGATGGGACGCGCGTATATCTATCTCACCCCGGCATCGGGGAATACGAGATGTGGCCGGCAAGTTTTCCCGGTGGACTTGTATGCGCATTCACTGAACTAGCCTCTAAACAGCGGCCGACGCGTCGCATTCCGTACTTTTTCGAAATTGTTTCGTCGTTCGTGTGCTACACAAATCAAAACTCTAGTTCGAAGAGGACAAGCAAAAATCCCTGAAGTAAACTATGTTTCTCTTCCTGACAGCAGGATTTTTTGCTTGGTTTGTAACAGCATTGCTTTATTTTTGTTAGATTACTTTGTAGGGATTGAAGTTGGTGCAATCAGGGAATCTTAGAAGTATATAGGAACTAGTTGTCCATAGATGTCACCTTAGGTATTAGCTCATAACCAATATAACCTATATTTTTAATAGCTTTCTACTCTTAAATATTTTTGATATTTTTAACACCAGCAGCATGTTTTGACTTGGGGCGTATGACATTTTATTGGTCTTGTGCTGCACCGTAGGCAAATGCGCAGGCACAAGCTCCACCCCCGTGACTAAAACCCGTGACTTAAGTACTTTACGCACGGCTTGGTTGTCTCTATATAAAGTGGCACTTTTTGAGCATATAAATCGTAGAAAACTGGCTCTTTATAGATGGAAGTAGAAAAAATAATTTATGTCAAAATTGGTCATGCAATTTTGTTCACATTGATTTTTTTGTACTATATAGATAGGATTAATTAATTCTTAGTATGTAATTGTGTGTCATGCGTAAAATTACACTTTCCTAATGCTTTGATGTATACTTTATTATCTGTCGCATTCGATTTCCGATAAATAATAGTTAGTGAATGAAATTGTTATGACGCGAATATTAGTGTCATGAATTATAGTTGTAGAACAAAGCACGGAATGTGAAGACAAATGTTCGCGACTGAATGCACGCATCGCTCAATACGTTCCGGCATAAAATTGATGATAATTTCACTCACGATTCCGCTCGTCGACAATTTATCGTCTTATTGTCAATGTTCCACAGTAACCGCGCGACCCGGCCGCTACGTGCGATGATTAATCGATTGCTTATTCTTCGTATCATTACTAGCGCCGACACGCTGTTCGACGTCTCAATTTTTTCCGTCGAGTGCGTATTCTTCAACTCTTCAACAGTTCAACGCAACACGAAACAACGCTAGTCAATTACTCAATTACGGTAAATATACTTCTTAATCGACAGCACGACAGCCGGCTGGATTCTAATACAGCACATGTTGTTTCACCCGCGGTAATACGAAATGATGATGAAAGGAGCAAAGAAGTAATGCGCATGGAAATGCATCGTGGTAAAAATGAAGGTTCCTCATCCGGGAAGGTTTCCGCTCGTCAATCGTTAACTGAGAGAGGTACTCTCGAGACGGGCGCGCTGTATTTGTATACGCAAATTATATTTAATACACACTTAGAGATGACGTATAGACATTTATGTGAGGCCGTAATACCCACCGTAAATTACGACCGCACGCGCGCCCGTTGAGAGTCCTGCCGCTGCCGGTGCGCCGCCGGCCGATGAATAAGGACAAGCGCCAATGGAGGCGGCTGAAATAGGGACGGCGTTCGCCTGCCCCTCGAAAACGCACGGCAGGTGTTTAAAGATTAATTATGCGCGCCGAATCTCGAAAAACGAATTCTGCGTTAATATATTAATTTTTTAAATTAATGACTAATCAATGTGAGTGCTCTCGATGGTGTACGAGGGTGGAGGCGGCGGCGGCAGTGGCAGCAGTTGTGATTAATTAAAATCTAATGAATTATTTTTTAAGTGTTGCGCGCAGACTGCAATGATTTTTTCAAGCCGAGGGAATTCGTCGTGCAATTATTAATATCGCATTCCGCGTTTGCTGGGAGTAAATGTGTTGGGCTCACCGCATGTGGAGCGTTGAAGCATTTACGAGCGCGTTACAATCGTTTCCACGGTCGCGATGGTCATTTCAGCCGCTCCCGCTGACGCTGTCGATGAAAACCGCGCGACGATTGGCACCGCGCTTATTTCGTTCGTAAATACATGCGAATATATATTAGCATCTGCGCGCGGAGTCGTTTCGGCTGATGTGAACAGGACAGTCATGTTCGGCATACAAAGCGTTGCCGGCGAAAAATCACACTGACGATGGAAATACGAGGAGTGTAGTCGTAAAAGCGCCGGTTAAATTATGCAAAATTCCATTTTTAATCATCGCGATCAAAAATTCTGCGTTTTAAGTTTGAAATATTCGTTAATGCAATAGTTACGAAAATATTTGTGTGTTTCATACTTCCATCGCAACTTCAACATGGTTAAAATGATATTTTATGAAGGACTG